GTGGGTTGTTTGAGGATCAGTGGGTCTATTGTTAGAGGATCTGTGGGTCTATTTTTAGAGAATTGGTGGGTCTATTGTTAGACGATCGGTTGGTCTATTGTTAGAGGATCGGTGGGTCTATTGTTACAGGATCGTGTGGGTCTATTGTTAGAGGATCTGTGGATCTATTGTTAGAGGATCAGTGGGTCTATTGTTAGAGGATCAGTGGGTCTATTGTTAGTGGATCAGTGGGTCTATTGTTAAAGGATTAGTGGGTCTATTGTTAGAGGATCAGTGGGTGTATTGTTAGAGGATCAGTGGGTCTATTGTAGAAGGATCAGTGGATCTATTGTTAGAGGATCAGTGGGTCTGCTGTTTGAGGATGAGTGGGTCGATTGTTGGAGATTCAGTGGGTCTATAGTTTTCCCCAAAAATTAGGCCGTGGAACCCACAATGGGAAAAGGTATTGATATAGGTCCTTTAATCAACACTATCTAGAATACAACTCACCACAACACTCTCCGGGAAGACACATTTAAAACAAAAATTTAAACAAAGTTTTTGTGAAGAAGATGGACAGAAACATAGTATCTTTATTGGTTAAAAACAAGATTAAACAAATAACAACAGATACGACACATCTCAATTATAAGGTAGAAAGATTACAACAATATATTACCTCTATAAAAATAAAAAACAAAAACCCAGCTGCATGAACAATAAATTAAGCTAAATATAAACAAGTCTGACACTAGAGCCTCTGCTTTGTATTTCAGTGTGAAACCCATAAGGGTTCCTGGGCCCCAGTTTGGGGGAGTCAAGTATAGACTCATTTCCCCTCAACAAGCATCACAAAAAAGCAACTAATTAAGAATTGTCTGAAATTGCATGTGTTGAGCCAAAAGGCACAGATATTGCAGTGTGGCTGTAAACCACAATGCCCTGTACCAACAGCCCCAGCGACTGCAGGAGAAGAAATTCTTCAGCGTCTTCCAAAAGATTTGGACTACAAATTATTATATTCATTTTAGTTGACCATAAGTAATTTTTTTTTTTCACGACGAGGAAGGGCGGAATTTTAATTTACAAGTTTTTTTTTTGGTACTCAATCATAATGAGGCTGGGTGGAATATTATAACCGTTAAAATAACTATAAAGAATAATACACAAAATTGTGTCATTCTGATTGCCACAGCTCCCGTTATTTAAAAAAAAAATGCTTATTTAATATGTGGTAAATAGCTCAGAAAGCACAATCATTATCAACTACATGCCCTCAGTCAAGTAAATTATGTTCTGTCAAAGAATTATGCTCATTCTATGTACACAGAGGATAGGGATTGTGCCCTCCACCTTATTTACCACACACTAAATGAAAGTTTGTCATCGCAACAGAATGCAGCCACAGTAACTCCCAACACAGTCACTACACCTAAAAATATCTTCTTTTTCTTTGTTTGCTTGAAATAGATTGTCTATATCTGCAATGTTGTCTCTAGTATGAACTTCAATGTCTGTTGTAATTCAGTCAGCAACCGGTAAAGTTTAACTTGCACATTTATTTCTCTTGGCCACAAGTTTTGCCTTGAAATGTTGTATTTGGGGCAGTCTTGAAGGACATGATCTGTTGTCTCAGGTGCTAATCCACATGTGTGTACATGGCTGATTTGCGAATCTTAAATTTTGTGTAAATGTGGCTGCGAAGTTGATTATGTCCTGTTCTAAGGCGTAGAATAATGGCTTGCTCTGGTCTGTCCATTATATGGTATAATTTTTTGTCAGTGTTGGTGGCTTTCTGATAAAAAGATTTGATGTGAGGTTTAACTGGCAGCCAAGAAGAAGTGGATTAATGACATCAAAGACAATACACATCCAAATGGCATGACATTATCCAGTGCTAGCCATCAAGCACTGGATGGCAAACTATTCCTTCCCTTTCAGCCTTTTCAGCCCAGAACATCAAAATTAAAAAAATAAAAACTGGAAACTGAGTGTCTGGCATCAATTCGAAGAAATTCTAATTAACTGCCTTAAAAAAATGTCAGGTCCTTAATTCTCAGTCAGTAATAAAACTCCACTAGACAGATTTTCAAATCCAATGCACAAATAAGACAAGAGACCAAGAAAGTCTGTTTCCTAAGAAAGTGCTGCTAGAACTACATCGGCCATGCACTGAGAATGGATAAGACAAGACTTCCCCGTCAAGTCCTCATATGGACACCGGAAAGGAAAAGAAAACGGGAAAGACCAAGAGAGACTCTGCGTAGAACCATCATCAGGTAAAGCTCAACCTTGGGCCTAATGAACGTCGAAAACCTAAAGCAGGTGGCAACAAACTACCAGACATGGAGAGCTATGACCTCTGACCCATGCCCCACCCAGGGCTCAAAAGGAAAGACTAACTAATAAATCTGTAAATAAAGTTACTTATAGTAAAGAATAAAGATAGTAGTGTGTGTGTGTGTGTGTGTGTGTGTGTATGCAACAAGTGTTTATTATGGGTGCGAGAATATGTTCGGTACATGAGCTAGACAAATCCTGGTGGCTAGACATAGACTCAAAAGTAATTTGTTCAAATCGGCACAAAATTCAAATTTTTTTTATGTGCTGGAATATTACGAACTCCAGGGATATCATTAGGTTAAATAAATGTATTTCTTCCACTTAATACCATCACTAGATTCCAGCGATATCGGAAGAAGGTAGCTAACCGCTGATGCCGCTGCACGCCACTATCAGCTGTTGAGTCCATACAGCGATCAGTTTCAGTAACGAACTGTCATCATTGCTTTCACTTTTCACATCCGAAGCACGATCTAATGTGCCTTCCATCACATCAACAACACTTTGGTCATCACTATCACCAAGATAATACCAATATCTTTTTTGTTTTTGCATCACCAGTATGAATAAAAAATGTGTTTTGACCTTTACTCTACAAAAATGACCTCGGCTCCCAGGTCAACCCAGACCTGAATGGGTACCAGGAACAATCCTAGGAAGTAGAGGAGGCCAGCTTGATGTTGACAATATTACCCATCAAGTGCCGATTGGTCTCTTAAATACAGGTCTAGCTCTATATGCCCAAAACTATTATGACCTTTATACTGACTCATTTTGAAGTGCAACAAAAATACAGCACAGAAAATATCGATAACAATGGCCATGATGATATTTTTAGTAACAGGAATCCTGTGTACATTGCATGCATACTGGAAAACAGGTTCAACGTTGGTTAGAGTACTTCTCAGGAACTGGAAAAACACTCAGACATACACTCAGAGATACACTCAGACATACACTCAGACATACACTCAGAGATACACTCAGACATACACTCAGAGATACACTCAGACATACACTCAGAGATACACTCAGACATACACTCAGAGGAAAGGCAAGATGGACTTATAACCAGATTGTGACCAGTACCATCAGTACTGGAACTCTGCACTGGCTGCTGAAGATGAGGACTGAGTACACATGGGAATGCCCTGAGTTCTGTAATGTCAATTCTTGACTCAACTCAACTTATCTGAATTCAGGAACTGGATAATGTAAAACTGCCCGTTAAGTGACATTTACAGGAAACTGAGCACAATCAGGAATGTCAAATTTGCGGGTTCTCTGGGCGTAAGGGTTAGTAATGGTTAAAGTAAATTCTGACGACAATCTATGAGAACATTTTATTGTATTTATTTACAGCTGAAAGTGAATCAACATTTAATGGGGTTTTCCCTTAGCGACTTGTGTTTGTTACAACATTCTAACCAATCAAGCTACTCTTATTCTGAGCAGCTTGTCTGGCAATGTTCAAGGTGCCAGCTTGACGTCAACTACATCACCCACTGAATGTCACCTGATGTCAACTGGTCTATATAAATACGGATCTAGCCTTAAGCGTGGCACTGGCATAAAAATAGTCTCTTACTTTATCAGAAATGTATCAATTTCTTCTTTTTTTTTTCTTTGAGTTCACTGGCTGTAAACATTCTGGTTGTTTGTCCACTCCAGGACTTTGGTTTGCATAGGTTTTCAGAACTTGAGTTTTCCATGCATATCCATTTCATATATCTAGCTCATCTGTATACAGACTGCTTAATTGGTCGCCTTGTACAACATGATTGTTAGAGGGGCAGTGATTTTCCCCAAAATGGGGTCCCGGGAACCCAAGGGGGGCAAAAGCCCTCAACCAACTCGCTCGAAGTCGTTCTATCCTTTGCTATCACAGGCAGCTTTCCCCATGTCCTTCCCATCTTTTTAACTTCACTCACTAGCTTCATTCTCCATTTTTTTGGGGGGGGGGGGGGGGGGGGGGGGGTGTGGGGGGTGGGGGGGGGGGGTGGTCTTCCTTTATTTCTATGTCCCTGTGGGTTCCAGTGCAAAGACATTCTAGTTACACTGTTCTCAGTTTTTTTTTCAACTATATCCTATCCAATGCCAGCATCTTTTCCTCACCTCCTGGTCTACTGGAATTTGTTTAGTTCTCTCCCAAAGCTCAGCATTTGTGATCCTATCATACCACTTGATTCCCTATAATCTTCGCTTTAGGCCTGAAGAAAGGTTTCCAAGACATTAGAACAATAAAGTTAAAACCTGGCTGTTGACTCACTGACTGACTTTCTACCCCACCAGGACATCACACAAGCGATAAACACCCGATGACAGAATATGCCACCATGTGGGTGAGGATCACCGTGGAGAGGTCCCAGAAACTGCGTTCAGCCTTTAGGCCATATTTATGGCCAGGCTATATTGTTGCCCCTGGCAAGAGCCAGAGTAGGGCTTCAAATAATCAAAAATTTCATCCTAAAAAGGACAGGAAAATACCTGGCTGTTGGTCACCCTGCTTAAAAAGTACATAACTTGTTAAGTACGTTATCATAAACGTAAACTATTAATTTATTATTTACATATACCATTATCTTATCATGTATGTATTGTGTTTTGTTACATTAAACATATGCTGTTGAATCATCATATACATTTACAACTTTGCAGTGTTAAAATGGTTCAGCTGTTTATGTTTCCATGGTGTCCAAACTGCCTGGTCCACTGTTCAAATCGTCGTCATCGCTGAACCCCCAAACCTGAAAAGTAAATGAGAAAACAACCGTCTAGTTTAACCAAATTTTTGACAGCAAGTCTCGAATAGTGCAATGGAAGGATAGATAATTGTGTCTATCAGCATACAACTGTGTAGTGATTAGTGATTAGTAAAGATTATCATCACAGCACTCCAGACAGATCCACATATGCTCCAATCTCCTTCTCAAAAGCTCCACAAAAGTAAAACGACTGACGACGCCTGTTCTGTGTTGGTTAATGAAACATCTTGTCCCCTTAGTGAAATGTTCATTTCTTGCACCCCCATGTCCATCAGTCTAGACAGGGATACGGAGTCACGCCCTCTGGCGTGCTCGTCTTCACGGAAAGTGCTAATCATGGCATAAATAATATTGTTTCTGTCCAGTACTAGCCCAGCCATAGCAACCACAGTGTCAGCAAGATAGTCTGCATGCTTGTTTCCTTGAACACCCACATGACCTGGCACAAAGATGAAGGTTAAGGCTGCCATTCAAAGTGTTTAGTGTTGCACTCCATTCTTGCCCATTGAAAGCAGCTTGGATATTTTTCAAGTATATTTATCGTGTCACTAAGTATGCATGCTTGTGTGAACTCTTCACTACTAAACCATGCTAATGCCCTTGTTACAGCTATAGTTTCAATTGTAAGGCTTCTAATTTTAACAGCAAAGACAACTGTGAATCTTTAATGAAACAAAAAACAATGTCCAAAGACAAAAATACTTGTCAAAATGGAGGGGAAAAAAATACAGGAATATTGCCCCAAAAACAAAACTACATGTCCAGGACAAATAAACAACAAAAAACAAACATAACATCCAGAGACAAAACTGCATGTTAACACATTCATACAAAGTCTAAAGACGCAACTGCATGATAACCCACACACACATACAAAACATCTGAAGACAAAAGTGCATGTTAAACAGGAGATGCGAAAGCTGCTGCTCGTGAGTCCCAGCCATCTAGTTTAGCCCCAATCCACGCCGCGTGAGTGTGGTGGGGGATACTCTCGGCGGTGGCAGTAGACGCCAGAAAACCGCAAATTAGGTCACCGGAAGTGCGCAATTGACACATGACTGAGGCTCTGTTTGGGTGTTTTTGCGGCCGCCATCTTTTGTGCCTGTTATTAGGAGGATAGCCCAAAATTAATATCACTTCTGCTAAAAGAAAAGAAACAAACATGTGGAGAACTGACCTCATGTTCAGCAGTTGCATCATGCATGGCTGAGAGACCTGTAAGATCTTCCAAATATCCAGGCTCATTGAAAACTTTCAACAGGAAGTCAAACCCATCTTTCTCGTACCTCTGTATCACCTGGGAATATACATTTGAGATTGCTTACTGCTATTTAATTTCATATTAGCTGTACACATCTCAGAAACCATGTGAGAAAAAGCTGTACACATCTCAGACACTAAACATGTGAGAACAAGCTGTACACATCTCTGATACCATGTGAGAACAAGCTGTACACATCTCTAATACCATGTGAGAACAAGCTGTACACATCTCTGATACCATGTGAGAACAAGCTGTACACATCTCTGATACCATGTGAGAAGAAGCTGTACACATCTCTAATACCATGTGAGAACAAGCTGTACACATCTCTGATACCATGTGAGAACAAGCTGTACACATCTCAGACGTGAAAACAAGCTGTACACATCTCTGATACCATGTGAGAACAAGCTGTACACATCTCTGATACCATGTGAGAACAAGCTGTACACATCTCTGATACCATGTGAGAACAAAGTGTACACATCTCAGACACTTACCATGTGAGAACAAGCTGTAAACATCTCTGATACCATGTGAGAACAAGCTGTACACATCTCTGATACCATGTGAGAACAAAGTGTACACATCTCAGACACTTACCATGTGAGAACAAGCTGTACACATCTGAGAACAAGCTGTACACATCTGCAGACAGCGTACTTACCATGTGAGAACAAGCTGTACACATCTCTGATACCATGTGAGAACAAGCTGTACACATCTCAGACACTTACCATGTGAGAACAAGCTGTACACATCTCAGACACTTACCATGTGAGAACAAGCTGTACACATCTCAGACATGTACCATGTGAGAATAAGCTGTACACATCTTTGATACCATGTGAGAACAAGCTGTACACATCTCAGACACTTACCATGTGAGAACAAGCTGTGCACATCTCAGACACTTACCATGTAATAACAAGCTGTACACATCTCAAACACTTACCATGTGAGAACAAGCTGTACACATCTCAAACACTTACCATGTGAGAACAAGCTGTACACATCTCAAACACTTACCATGTGAGAACATGCTGTACAAATCTCAGACACTTACTATGTGAGAACAAGCTGTACACATCTCAGACACTTACCATGTGAGAACAGGCTGTACATATCTCAAACGCTTACCATGTGAGAACAGGCTGTACACATCTCAGACACTTACCATGTGATAACAAGCTGTACACATCTCAAACACTTACCATGTGAGAAAACGCTGTACACATCTCTGATACCATGTGAGAACAAACTGTAAATATCTTAGACACTTACCATGTGAGAACAAGATGTACACATCTCAGACACTTACCATGTGAGAACAAGCTGTACACATCTCAGACACTTACCATGTGAGAACAAGCTGTACACATCTCAGACACTTACCATGTGAGAAAACGCTGTACACATCTCTGATACCATGTGAGAACAAACTGTACACATCTTAGACACTTACCATGTGAGAACAGGCTGTACACATCTCAAACGCTTACCATGTGAGAACAGGCTGTACACATCTCAGACACTTACCATGCAAGAACAAGCTGTACACATCTCAAACACTTACCATGTGAGAACAAGCTGTACACATCTCAGACACTTACCATGTGAGAACAAGCTGTACACATCTCAGACACTTACCATGTGAGAACAAGCTGTACACATCTCAGACACTTACCATGTGAGAACAAGCTGTACACATCTCTGATACCATGTGAGAACAAGCTGTACACATCTCAGACACTTACCATGTGAGAACAAGCTGTACACATCTCAAACACTTACCATGTGAGAACAAGCTGTACACATCTCAGACACTTACCATGTGAGAACACACATCTCAGACACTTACCAGTGAGACAAGCTGTACACATCTCAGACACCATGTGAGAACAAGCTGTACACATCTCAGACACTTACCATGTGAGAACAAGCTGTACACATCTCACACTTACCATGTGAGAACAAGCTGTACACATCTCAAACACTTACCATGTGAGAACAAGCTGTACACATCTCAGACACTTACCATGTGAGAACAAGCTGTACACATCTCAGAACACTTACCATGTGAGAACAAGCTGTACACATCTCAGAACACTTACCATGTGAGAGACAAGCTGTACACATCTCAGACACTTACCATGTGAGAACAAGCTGTACACATCTCAGACACTTACCATGTGAGAGAACAAGCTGTACACATCTCAGACACTTACCATGTGAGACACATTACCATGTGAGAACAAGCTGTACACATCTCAGACACTTACCATGTGAGAACAACTTACTTACATGTGAGAAACTGTACACATCTCAGTACCAGTGAGAAGCTGTACACATCTCAGACACTTACCATGTGAGAACAAGCTGTACACATCTCAGACACTTACCATGTGAGAACAAGCTGTACACATCTCAGACACTTACCATGTGAGAACAAGCTGTACACATCTCAAACACTTACCATGTGAGAACAAGCTGTACACATCTCAGACACTTACCATGTGAGAACAAGCTGTACACATCTCAGACACTTACCATGTGCTGTAACAAGCTGTACACATCTCAAACACTTACCATGTGAGAACAAGCTGTACACATCTCAGACACTTACCATGTGAGAACAAGCTGTACACATCTCAGACACTTACCATGTGAGAACAAGCTGTACACATCTCAGACACTTACCATGTGAGAACAAGCTGTACACATCTCAGACACTTACCATGTGAGAACAAGTACACTGTACACACCATGTGAGAACAAGCTGTACACACTTACACTTACCATGTGAGAACAAGCTGTACACATCTCAGACACTTACCATGTGAGAACAAGCTGTACACATCTCAAACACTTACCATGTGAGAACAAGCTGTACACATCTCAGACACTTACCATGTGAGAACAAGCTGTACACATCTCAGACACTTACCATGTGAGAACAAGCTGTACACATCTCAGACACTTACCATGTGAGAACAAGCTGTACACATCTCAGACACTTACCATGTGAGAACAAGCTGTACACATCTCAGACACTTACCATGTGAGAACAAGCTGTACACATCTCAGACACTTACCATGTGAGAACAAGCTGTACACACATCTGTGAGAACACTTACCATGTGACACTTACCATGTGACAAGCTGTACACATCTCTGACACTTACCATGTGAGAACAAGCTGTACACATCTGTAGAACAAGCTGTACACTTACCATGTGAGAACAAGCTGTACACATCTTAGACACTTACCATGTGAGAACACGCAGTACACATCTCTCATACCATGTGAGAACAAGCTGTACACATCTTAGACACTTACCATGTGAGAACAAGATGTACACATCTCAGACACTTACCATGTGACACTCAGACACCATGTGAGAACAAGATGTACACATCTCAGACACTTACCATGTGAGAACAAGCTGTACACATCTCAGACACTTACCATGTGAGAACAGGCTGTACACATCTCAGACACTTACCATGTGAGAACAAGCTGTACACATCTCAGACACTTACCATGTGAGAACAAGCTGTACACATCTCAGACACTTACCATGTGAGAACAAGCTGTACACATCTCAAACACTTACCATGTGAGAACAAGCTGTACACATCTCAAATACTTACCATGTGATAACAAGCTGTACACATCTCAGACACTTACCATGTGAGAACAAGCTGTACACATCTCAAACACTTACCATGTGAGAAAACGCTGTACACATCTCAGACACTTACCATGTGATAACAAGCTGTACACATCTCAAACACTTACCATGTGAGAACAAGCTGTACACATCTCAAACACTTACCATGTAAGAACAAGCTGTACACATCTCAGACACTTACCATGTGAGAACAAGCTGTACACATCTCAAACACTTACCATGTGAGAACAGGCTGTACACATCTCTGACACTTACCATGTGAGAACAAGCTGTACACATCTCAGACACTTACCATGTAAGATCAAGCTGTACACATCTCAAACACTTACCATGTGAGAACAAGCTGTACACACTCATACCATGTGAGAACAAACACTTACCATAACAAGCTGTAACACTTACCATGTAGCTGTACACATCTCAGACACTTACCATGTGAGAACAAGCTGTACACATCTCAGACACTTACCATGTGAGAACAAGCTGTACACATCTCAGACACTTACCATGTGAGAACAAGCTGTACACATCTCAGACACTTACCATGTGAGAACAAGCTGTACACATCTCAAACACTTACCATGTGAGAACAAGCTGTACACATCTCAAACACTTACCATGTGAGAACAAGCTGTACACATCTCAGACACTTACCATGTGAGAACAAGCTGTACACATCTCAGACACTTACCATGTGAGAACAAGCTGTACACATCATGTGAGAACAGCTGTACACACTCAGACACTTACCATGTGAGAACAAGCTGTACACATCTCAGACACTTACCATGTGACACATCTCAACACTTACCATGTGAGAACAGCTGTACACATCTCAGACACTTACCATGTGAGAACAAGCTGTACACATCTCAAACACTTACCATGTGAGAACAAGCTGTACACATCTCAGACACTTACCATGTGAGAACAAGCTGTACACATCTCAGACACTTACCATGTGAGAACAGGCTGTACACATCTGACAACTTACCATGTGAGAACAGGCTGTACACATCTGCTGCTGTACACATCTCAGACACTTACCATGTGAGAACAAGCTGTACACATCTCAGACACTTACCATGTGAGAACAAGCTGTACACATCTCAAACACTGTGAGAACAGCTGTACACATCTCAAACACTTACCATGTGAGAACAAGCTGTACACATCTCAAACACTTACCATGTGAGAACAAGCTGTACACATCTCAAACACTTACCATGTGAGAACAAGCTGTACACATCTCAAACACTTACCATGTGAGAACAAGCTGTACACATCTCACATCATGTGAGAACAAGCTGTACATCTCAAACACTTACCATGTGAGAACAAGCTGTACACATCTCAAACACTTACCATCAGACACTTGAGAACAAGCTGTACACATCATCACTTACCATGTGAGAACAAGCTGTACACATCAAACACTTACCATGTAAGAGAACAAGCTGTACACATCTCAGACACTTACCATGTGAGAACAAGCTGTACACATCTCAGACACTTACCATGTGAGAACAAGCTGTACACATCTCAGACACTTACCATGTGAGAACAAGCTGTACACATCTCAGACACTTACCATGTGAGAACAAGCTGTACACATCTCAGACACTTACCATGTGAGAACAAGCTGTACACATCTTAGACACTTACCATGTGAGAACAAGATGTACACATCTCAGACACTTACCATGTGAGAACAAGATGTACACATCTCAAACACTTACCATGTGAGAACAAGCTGTACACATCTCAGACACTTACCATGTGAGAACAAGCTGTACACATCTGTACTTACCATGTCTCACACACATCTCAGACACTTACCATGTGAGAACAAGATGTACACATCTCAGACACTTACCATGTGAGAACAAGATGTACACATCTCAAACACTTACCATGTGAGAACAAGCTGTACACATCTCAGACACTTACCATGTGAGAACAAGCTGTACACATCTCAAAAGCTTGACTAGCTGGCAAAATTTGATGAAAGCGGGATAGGAAACCACGAATCTAGTGACAAGAATTGAAGCATATTTTTATTTTGTAAGAAAAAAAAAAAGAAAAGAATTTGTCACTTTTAATTTAAAATAACCATAAGAGAGCTTCAGTAACGTAGTGACTAGTTGCTCGATTGCCAGTCTGAAAGTACAGAGTTCAAATCTGTATTATGTCTGATTTGTGTTTCTTAAAAACTAATCTTAACTCACAGGCTGACCCTAGTCTAAAATGGGCACTAGGTAAGGTCCTGGTCACTAAAGGTGGCCAGCATGATATTGACCATAAGAGAGTTACAGTAACACAGTGACTAGAACCTCATCTGTCAGTCTGAAAGTACAGAGTTCAAATCTGTATTATGTCTGAATTGTGGTCTTTAAAACTGACTTTAACTCACAGGCTGACCCTAGCCTAAAATGTGCACAAGGTAAGGTCCTGGTCACTAAAGGTGGCCGGCATGACGTTGACCACATTACCCATCAAGTGCCAATGTATGTATAAAAGTACAGTTCTAAAAAGTGTTTCAAAACTTGTGCCATCAGATTTCAACAAATCTCAAAAATTCATGTACGCATCAACGTAAATTTTTGCATTTTTGTTTTACATTTTCCATATCCTAATGGTTTCGCTTAACTCTTTGAGTCCCAAGAAACACTTCATACGTGCATAGGCTCCTACCTAGAATCTCAATTAATGCATGATGCACCGATTTTATGTTTCTCTTTACTACCACTTGGCCTGTGATGATAAACCCCTTGGGACTCAAAAAGTTAATGGTATCCCACTTCAAGACATAAAGTCGTACATCTATTTGGGCAGTAATGTAGATAAAGTTGGGGAAACTGAAAGAGATATTAAAATACAAATACAACAAGAAAGAGAAGCTTTTATAGCCCTAGGGAATTTGTGGAGGTCAACAGAAATTAAAGCTAATACTAAACTACAAATGTGTATATCTAATGTCAAATAAGTTCTGTTGTATGGAACAGAAATACGGAGAACAACTAAGTAAAAAAAAAAAAAAAAAGTAAAGGACCCTTTCCACGCCTTTAGGCGTATAGGGCATATAGGGCTAGACCTATATTTTTATACACCAACGGCACAAGATGGGTGATGTGGTCAGCATCACGCCGGCCCCCTCTACTTCCCGGGATTGCACCCGGTACCCACTCAAGGCTGGGTCGACCTGGGAGCCAAGGTCATTTTTGAAGAAAAGTCCGTCTCCGCCAGGGAGCGAACCCACGACCTTCCGATCCGCGGCGCGCGTCTAGCCGCTCTGCCACGGCGACTCCCAGAACAACTAAGGCAAGTACAAATAAGCTACAAACATTCATTAACTAGTGCTAGCGTAGAATAAAGGGAATTAAATGGCATGACACGAGTCACTAATGTATAGTCATAAAAATAAAAACTATGCACATCAAATTATTGCTGGGATGTGCTCTAATTATACTACCATTTCAACACAGTAATAATACTTAGCATAATAAGTGTAATCAATCTAGGGGATTAGGGGCATAAAATGTTTCAAACTATTATTTTCTATGGGGGCATAAAGTCTGGGCTGAGATAATAGTTAAATAAATGAAGGAAGATGCAGTGCTATGCTTTCTTGGATAAGGATAAAAAGTGAGTCAGAATTGTAAAAGTGTAAGGATCAGACCAGGTTTACAGTGATTAGACCAGGCTTACAGTGATCAGACCAGGTTTACAGAGATCAGACCAAGTTTACAGTGATCAGACCATGCTTACAGTGATCAGACCATGCTTACAGTGATCAGACCAGGTTTACAGTGATCAGACCAAGCTTACAGAGATCAGACCAAGTTTACAGTGATCAGACCATGCTTACAGTGATCAGACCATGCTTACAGTGATTAGACCAGGCTTACAGTGATCAGACCAGGTTTACAGAGATCAGACCAAGTTTACAGTGATCAGACCATGCTTACAGTGATCAGACCATGCTTACAGTGATCAGACCAGGTTTACAGAGATCAGACCAAATTTACAGAGATCAGACCAAGCTTACAGTGATCAGACCATGCTTACAGTGATCAGACCATGCTTACAGTGATTAGACCAAGCTTACAGTGATCAGACCATGCTTACAGTGATCAGACCAAGTTTACAGTGATCAGACCATGCTTACAGTGATCAGACCAAGTTTACAGTGATCAGACCATGCATACAGTGATTAGACCAAGCTTACAGTGATCAGACCAAGCTTACAATGATCAGACCATGCTTACAGTGATCAGACCAAGTTTACAGTGATCAGACCATGCTTACAGTGATCAGACCAAGTTTACAGTGATCAGACCATGCTTATAGTGATCAGACCAAGTTTACAGTGATCAGACCATGCATACAGTGATTAGACCATGCTTACAGTGATCCGACCAAGTTTACAGTGATCAGACCAAGTTTACAGTGATCAGACCATGCTTACAGTGATCAGACCATGCTTACAGTGATCAGACCAAGTTTACAGTGATCAGACCAAGTTTACAGTGATTAGACCAAGTTTACAGTGATCAGACCAAGTTTACAGTGATCAGACAATGCTTTCAGTGATAAGACCAAGTTTACAGTGATCAGACCAAGCTTACAGTGATTAGACCATGCTTACAGTGATTAGACCATGCTTAAAGTGATTAGACCAAGTTTACAGTGATTAGACCAAGTTTACAGTGATCAGACCAAGCTTACAGTGATTAGACCATGCTTACAGTGATCAGACCAAGTTTACAGTGATCAGACCATGCTTACAGTGATTAGACCATGCTTACAGTGATTAGACCAAGTTTACAGTGATCAGACCAAGCTTACAGTGATTAGACCATGCTTACAGTGATTAGACCATGCTTACAGTGATTAGACCAAGTTTACAGTGATCAGACCAAGCTTACAGTGATTAGACCAAGTTTACAGTGATCAGACCAAGTTTACAGTGATCAGACCAAGTTTACAGTGATCAGACCAAGTTTACAGTGATCAGACCAAGCTTACAGCTATTAGACCATGCTTACAGTGATCAGACCATGCTTACAGTGATCAGACCATGCTTACAGTGATCAGACCATGCTTACAGTGATCAGACCAAGTTTACAGTGATCAGACCAAGCTTACAGTGATCAGACCAGGTTTACAGTGATCAGACCAAGCTTACAGTGATCAGACCAGGTTTATAGTGATCAGAATGTTTACAGTGATCAGACCAAGTTTACAGTGATCAGACCAAGCTTACAGTGATTAGACCAAGTTTACAGTGATCAGACCAAGTTTACAGTGATCAGACCAGGCTCATAAGTGCAAGGCTAAATGCAGGTTAAACATGAATTGTAGTCACGGTCAAAGTTTCAACTTCTCTGTAACTGGGTCACCTTAACTTGCTCCGTTCCTGTGCCAGTGAACATAAAATGAAATGTTCCTCACAGTCCCTTTTGAAAAACTGGTGAACAAACAACTGTCCTGGCACAATCCAGAAATCTGTGCACACAGTAAATGCATATAGCAGTTGCTAGAGGTGCCAGAGCCAACAGCTGCCACCAGAAATGCAGTTTGTCATTGATGGTAGGACTCTGTCACAATAAGATGACTATACACACATAAAATTATTACATAGGGTATTTTACCAGCCTAAAAGTCAACTGACTACCGGCCATTCTGAATACAACACAACTGCTGCACAAATGAAAGGCATTCCACATGAAAAACACAGCTCACAGGGCTGCACCAAGCATTTAACTCAGTAGCTTCGGTAGTGAAATTGTAGACTTTCGTCCATATGTGAAAACTGCATTAGCAAACTGATTCAATGTTGATATAAATCTAGTGAAATACTGACTAAATGTTGATTCAATGATAAACTCCTGACTATATTTTCATGAATACTGACTCTATAATGATAAAACCTGATTTACTAATGAATGGAACTTAATAACGGCAAGTTGTTTACTGATGACTGAAAGTTAACTGCAAGCTATTTACTAATGACTGAAAGTTAACTGCAAGCAATTTACTAATGACTGAAAGTTAACTGCAAGTTATTTATTAATGACTGAAAGTTAATAACTTCAAGTTATTTACTAATGATTTAAAGGTAACTGCAAGTTATTTACTAATGATTGAAAGTTAACTGCAAGTGATTTACTAATGATTAAAAGGTAACTGCAAGTTATTTACTAATGACTGAAAATTAATAACTGCAAGTTATTTACTAGTGACTGAAAGTTAACTGCAAGTTATTTACTAATGACTGAAAGTTAGCTGTAGAAAGTTATTTACTAATGACTGAAAGTTCACTGTAAGTTATTTACTAATGACTGAAAGTTAACTGCAAGTGATTTACTAATGATTGAAAGTTAACTGCAAGTTATTTACTAATGACTGAAAGTTAACTGCAAGTTATTTACTAATGACTGAAAGTTAACTGTAAGTTATTTACTAATGACTGAAAGTTAACTACAAGTTATTTACTAATGATTGAAAGTTAACTGCAAGTTATTTACTAATGACTGAAAGTTAACTGCACATTATTTACTAATGAAAGTTAACTGCAAGTTATTTACAAATGATTGAAAGTTAACTGCAAGTTATTTACTAATGACTGAAAGTTAACAGCACATTATTTACTAATGACTGAAAGTTAACTGCAAGTTATTTACTAATGACTGAAAGTTAACTGCAGGTTAACCAGACCTGATGAGGAACTATTCCCAAAGATGATGCAGAGTCTCTATCCCAGGGATCATCATCAGAACTTGCATCAGCAGGAGCATTGTTAACTGCAAGTTATTTACTAATGACTGAAAGTTAACTGCACATTATTTACTAATGAAAGTTAACTGCAAGTTATTTACAAATGATTGAAAGTTAACTGCAAGTTATTTACTAATGACTGAAAGTTAAGTGCACATTATTTACTAATGACTGAAAGTTAACTGCAAGTTATTTACTAATGACTGAAAGTTAACTGCAGGTTAACCAGACCTGATGAGGAACTATTCCCAAAGATGATGCAGAGTCTCTATCCCAGGGATCATCATCAGAACTTGCATCAGCAGGAGCATTGGATCTGTGAGAAAGAACTTTGTGGAATCAGCAATATATCAATTCACATTGTCTTATCTGGTGACTAGTTTAAGAACTGACATCATAGCACTCAGGACATTTCCATAAACACTCCATCCCCATCTTCAGCAGCAAGTGCAGAGTTCAAATTCTGGTGGTACCAGTAGTAGTTTGATTGTACATCCGTCTCACCCCTCCCTTGAGTGTTGAGCCTCTGTCAGATTTGCCAGCACCCCTCGCTGTACAGCTCTTCTCAGACTGTGAAGATCTATTTGTGCCAATGCACTGCTTAGTAAAAGTAAAGTAAAGGACCATGTCCATGCCTTTAACCCTATCAGACTTGAGGCCCTGAACCTAACTATCCCCTATACCTGAGCTCCTGGGCATTAACATGAAAAAACCAACATGATATACAAAAAAAATTAGTTACATGCAAACAAGTGGCTAGAATAAGATTAAACTTGGAGACATTGTAGAAAATAGGTTTACCTTTTATTTAGCGCCAATTTTCCACCTTTGTGTGCTAATCGACCCAGCAGTTCACAAAGTGAACACCAGATGTTGCTGTTTGAGGGACACGCCCCCTTCTCCTACTTTCGATCTATTTCTAGATGTATCATTTTCAAGATTCTCCTCATCATTCCAGCTCTCACTGAATGTGTCACTTCAACTGAACGTATTCTTCATGAAATTATGACTCTGCAGAGTCTGAATCAAACAAAGTATCGATCACCTGTTGGAAGGTGAAAAGCTTAGACCTACTTCACTTTCCTGTCGAAGTGTTTGGTTCATCAGCCGTTCGTTTTATTGTGAATTTTATGAATTTGTTCACGTAAATCAACACAAATTTAATCCAAACACATGGGGGCGGACATCTGAGAAGACTATCCACGAGATCTGATTACGATTGGCTAGTTATGTTTAGTTTGTGACGCATTGTTTTCTCATAGTATGCAAATCCCCGACATTGAGGGACAGCGGTTGAGCGGCAGGTTAGGAAATTCCCATAATAGCGGGCCAGCGGTCTGGTTGAGTTAGGCAAACTGGGTTTTTACGGCCAGACCAATTTTTCAGAGATGAATCGGCACTCAGTGGGTGATGTGGTCAACATCGCGCCGGCTGCCTTTATTTCTCAGGACTTTACTTGGTACCCATTTGAAGCTTGTTCAACTTGGGAATTAAAATCATCAATTTTTCTTTAGTCAAGCTCTGCACCACATGCTCACTCCCTAAGGGCCCTTTTGACATTTAGCTTATTTTTATGGTGAATGTTGGCTAAAGGCCACAGCTGAGTGAGTCTTTAGTGATTTATAGGACCGACCAGAGAGGGTAACCGAGGATGGTGTAGATGCTGACATGATCATAAACAATTCCCCCCCTCCCCCCCAAAAAAAAAACCAGAAGCAAAATGTGTGCCACACTGGAGGCTAACTGCAGGGTAACTATAGGAATATTACATGGGAAGACCCAAATCTCTTCCACAGTGTAATTCTTGTACCACTGTACTGCGTGGAGTGACCAGGGGATTGGGCTGATGATCAGCACTCAAGGGAAAGGTGAGACAGATATAAAATTAGGCTGTTATTGGAACCACTGGAATTGGAACTCCACTTTGCTTGCTGCAAAAGATAGGGACGGAGCACTTATGAGAATATCCCGAGTGCTGTGTCATGCCATTTCCTAATTAAACACTAACACATTTGTACCACTGTCTGAAGGCCATGAGAATGGTCTCTTTAGAAACTGCTCAACGAAGGAATCAAACCTTGGAAAACATCGAGGACTGCAAAGTGAAACCATTTCCCTAAGCTCTAAGTAACAGAGCTGCACAAACTTTATGATAAAAAAAATGCTGCATGAGAGGCACACCAGACAAACTCAAAGTCTTGTTGACAAGCATAGGACTGGCACTATTAACTACAGGACACTGCTGTATATGCTGAAGGGGAAATCTGAGCACTTAACTCTTTAAGGCCCAAACAACGGTGTGAGCGTAGTTTGAGAAGTTCCGTTCTGCCCAAACAACGGTGTCATCGTCAATTGTGTATCTCTTACATTTTGCTTCGCACGCGCATTCGTACTAGTTTCTAATGTTTGGAGGTACGAATAACCTATTCAGGGAAAGTCGAAATCCTTTTAGTTTCATTTCTTGGACTAAACCACACGTGGATAATTTGAGAGAAAAAAACATCAAAATTTTTTTTTAACAGTTCATTTTCTAAGTTCGTTTTTGAGTGGACTAAATACCAATGTTCTAACCACAAGAACAGGTCGCAGAATGCGTCTTTCTGTGGCCGAAGCTCTGAAATTGTTTCAGTCAGATGTTTTTAATTGATAAATAATAATAAAAATTTAGATTTTTCGGAAAGTGATTCAGACAGTGAATTTTCACAAGTGAAGCTGAGCGATCAGCTGTTCGGAATCTAGCGATTCTGACGAGTTTATTACACAGACAATGTCGCATACTACCGTATTTATGGTGTAAGAGAAGGAAAGTGCTCTAAACAAAGAGATAGTACTATACTATGGCTAAGCTACATTGAAATCATCGCAGCTACAGTCTGTAAATAACTGTACAAAGTGAATAGTAAATAGTGTGTGTGTTATGGCTCATTTTTCTGCAATTTTTTCTCTGAAATTTTGCTTAGCACTCGGTGGGAACTAAGAGCCCCTGAGTGATAAACTAACCCAGAAAGTTATCATAACTTTAGAATATGTTAGGAAATTGAACAAACTTTGAAGTTTTGTTCTCAAATTTGGATATTTACTATTCTTGTGGCTGCAAAACCATGGTAAGTGAAGAATTTTTTTGTGAAATTTTGTCCTTGTGAAATTAACACCTGCTGAATTCTTCTTTTCCAAACTATAACAGAATCAAACAAACACTTATCATCAGATTCAAAAAGTACATTCATTTCTCTTTTAAAAAATATATACTTTTATAGGGATTAGAAGTATATAATAATCTCTACAGCCTTTCTTGTACATCCACCCCTCTGCCAATTTTTTAAAGGAAAATTAATTTGGGCCAAGTCTGTCAAAATTCATGGGTCTGAAAGAGTTAATGGACATGCCTTGAGTGCTGTGAAGATAACTCTAACTCAAAAAGGCTCATATTCAACTCAGCCTCTTCTTGAAGACTGAACACTCACTGGATTACCTAGAGTGCAGTTATGCTTGCTGGTTCTATAAACAGCAAATTGTTTTGCAGAGGTTGTCCAGTGCTGAGGTGAATGCAGGACAGACGCACCCTGAACATTAAACATATGTCAGAGGAACTGGCAATGAACTGATATGATAGATAGAGGAACTGGCAATGAACTGATGTAGTTCCTGACAGGCCACTTCCCATTAAAATGGACAATAGGCGCAGTCACTGTTTTTAGCTGTGGCAAATTTTTTTTGTTTCCGTACAAATGTGGCCATTGCATTTTCCTCCATTTTTAGACTGAAATTATAGTTTTGTCGCCAAGCTACTGAGTTGAGTGCATGGTGCAACAATGTCAGCTGCGGATTTCATTTGGAATGTTTTTCAACTGTGACCAACGTGGTTGTGTGAACTGTAGATTCAAAAAGTGGCGCGTGGCCCATTGCCACAGTATTGGTGGTGCCTTATGTGATTAAATTTGATCATGTGCAACTGCTGATCTATTTGTAACTGCTGCTTCTGTCAATGACAAACTGCATTTATAATGCTGTACTGTTTGTGCTGGCACTTCTGATGGCTCCTTATGCTTTTAATGTGTGTGTATGCTAATAAGTCAATAAATTCAAATATCTGGCAACAATCATATCATCAGACCGAAAATTTTTTACAGAGATTAAAAGCAAAATAGGTAAAGCGAAAGCTGCATTTCAGAAAATGAAAAATATCTTATGCAATAAATCGCTCTCATTTAATCAGAAAGAGGGTGATAGAATGTTACATAGAACCTGTTCTGCTCTATGGCAGTGAATCTTGGAATGTCAGTGAACAAATTAGGTAGAATTTAGAAGAAAGAGAGATGTGGTTTTTGAGACGAATGTTATGAATACCTTGGACTGCCTGAGTAACTAACAACGATTTCTTGAAAGAAGCTAATGAAAGAAGATCTCTATATACAACAATAAGAAAGAGATAAACACTGTTAATTAGAGAAACTGCATAAGTGTGCTAATCCTCAAGTAAGAGATGCTGAAACAGTAAAATGGGGGTGGGGGGGGGGGGGGGGAATCTGTCCACCTGAAGGAAGCTGGAGCATCAAAATAAGAAAATACTGATTTATTTATTTCAAGAATTGAAATCAGAGCACACCGGGCATACCCATAGATTCTCTGTTTCCTGCAGCAAATGTCTCAAAGTGTAGAAGCTAACTGTTCCCATAGCACATTGATTATACACACATCATTCTCTTCCTCTCATCTGTCCCTCCTTGTTGAATCTACAGCTAATTCCTTGTTCACACATACTTACAAAAGTTACTTCATCTTGCCACCTAACCTCATGTTTTTTATCAGTATTCATTCATAAATGGTCTTTAGAAAGTCTCCTTTGTCTGGTGGGATAAGAAAACAAAGTTACCAGAGGAATTATTGTGTCTGATTCATAGTCGGCACTGCGGAAGGTTCAAAAAGGACTACAGAAGCATGAGTGGATACCATGCATCAGTACGTTAACATTGATGGGAATCACGTGAATATACTTTCCGGGGTATGCAGGAGTGCGAGGGAATGAAACAGCAGATTTTCTGGCTACAAAAGCAAAAGCTATGGGAACACTCATATTAGACATAGACATTCTGAAGACCATATATGAAAGACTTGTGGCAGAAGACATGAGAATAGATGAAATAACATGGGCAAGAATGTGTGAACAAGGAATTAAGTGTGGATCCAGCAAGGAGGGACAGATGAGAGGAAGAGATCAGTATGTGTATAATCATTGTGCTACAGGAACAGTTAGCCTCTACACATTTTGTCATTTGCTGCAGGAGACAGAGCATCTATGGGTATGCCATGATGTTGATTCTTAAATCAGTAAATCAGTAGGATAAGAACTGACAACTTAACTTAAAGGATACTTCTGTACCAAATTAAAATAAGGCAACTCACCCTAAAACCTACCCAAGCACACAAAAACAATCAAAGGCAACTCACCTTAAAGCCTACCCAAGCACACAAAAACAATCAAAGGCAACTCACCTTAAAGCCTACCCAAGCACACAAAAAGAATCAAAAACAACTCAACCTTAAGCCTACCCAAGCACACAAAAAGAGTCAAAAACAACTCAACCTTAAGCCTACCCAAGGACACAAAAAGAGTCAAAGGCAACTCACCCTAAAGCCTACCCAAGCACACAAAAACAATCAAAGGCAACTCACCCTAAAGCCTACCCAAGCACACAAAAAAAGAGTCAAAGGCAACTCACCCTAAAACCTACCCAAGCACACAAAAAGCATCAAAGGCAACTCACCCTAAAGCCTACCCAAGCACACAAAAAGAGTCAAAGGCAACTCACCCTAAAGCTTACCCAAGCACACAAAAAGAGTCAAAGGCACTCTCCCTAAAGCCTACCCAAGCACACAAAAAAGCATCAAAGGCAACTCACCCTAAGCCTACCCAAGCACACAAAAAGAGTCAAAGGCAACTCACCCTAAAGCCTACCCAAGCACACACAAAAAAAGAGTCAAAGGCAACTCACCCTAAAACCTACACACAAGCACACAAAAAGCATCAAAGGCAACTCACCCTAAAGCCTACCCAAGCACACAAAAAGAGTCAAAGGCAACTCACCCTAAAGCTTACCCAAGCACACAAAAAGCATCAAAGGCAACTCACCCTAAAGCCTACCCAAGCACACAAAAATCATCAAAGGCAACTCACCCTAAAGCCTACCCAAGCACACAAAAAGCATCAAAGGCAACTCACCCTAAAGCCTACCCAAGCACACAAAAAAAGAGTCAAAGGCAACTCACCCTAAAACCTACCCAAGCACACAAAAAGCATCAAAGGCAACTCACCCTAAAGCCTACCCAAGCACACAAAAAGAGTCAAAGGCAACTCACCCTAAAGCTTACCCAAGCACACAAAAAGCATCAAAGGCAACTCACCCTAAAGCCTACCCAAGCACACAAAAAGCATAAAAGGCAACTCACCCTAAAGCCTACCCAAGCACACAAAAAGCATCAAAGGCAACTCACCCTAAGGGATGCTGAAGCACTGAAATCAGAAGCTCAACAGCCAGAGCTGAAGCCATCATAGACACACCAGGCCTGGTCACTGTGCACTGTTGGTCCAGAGTGCGATCCCTTGTGGACTGATTGTGGAGGCAATAAAAGTTATGTGATGTGAAAATTAACAGATGAAACAAAATGGTGACAACAATCAATCTGATAATCGTCAACATTTTAAAAGTAAAATTAAAACACCTTTTTTCCCAGGCCTTCAGGCATTTTGGGCCTTATGGATAGACCTATATTTTATAGACCAATCTGCACTAGGTGGGTGATATGGTCAAGTGATGCCTAAACTTCTTTGAACTTTACCTGGTACCCATTTAAGCTCAATGGACCTTGAAGCCAACGTCATTTTGGGAAGAAAAATACAAGTCTGGTTCTGTCAGGACATGAACCCGAACCCTTCGGATCAACAGGTGAGCATCTGGCTGCTACAACACGGTGGCTCCTGTCTAAATTTAAAGTAAAAATAAAAATTTAAAAAAAAACAATAATGTAAGAAATTTGTTGTTTTTCTTCTTGAGTGTTCAATGTTTGTACTATGTCTATTGTGGCGCCGGCTGTGAACAGTGCAGTGTTCCCGAGGTCAACATCAGTCTTCCACAATTTGTCTTGTACCTGGACATGCAGGTGGGCCAGATTTTCATTCTAATTCTGGTATTCTGTGTAGTCTTATGGGATGTACTCGAGAGTTTCAATGCTATGCAAGTGAAAATCACTGAGACATTTTTAGCGAATGGCAACTCAAGAGTTTAACAGTGTTTGTTGTTTAATTTATGGCTTGATTGGTTGGTTGTTTGGTTGGTCAATTAGTTGGTTGACTGATTTATTGGTTGGCTAGCTGGTTGGTTTGTTGGCTAGTTGATTGGTTGGTTTGTTTGTTAGCTAGTTCATTGGTTTATTTGGTTGTTGGCTAGTTGACTGGCTGGTTAGTTTGTTGGCTATCTGACTGTTTTGTTTTTTGATAGGCTGGTTGACAGGTTGGTTGGTTTTTTGGATCGTTGATTGGTTGGTTGGTTAGTTGACTGTTGGTTGGCTAGCTGATAGTTTGGTTAGTTTGTTGGCTAGCTGACTGGTTGGTATGTTGGTAGGCTAGTTGACTGGTTGGTTGGTTTGTGGGCTTGCTGACTGGTTGCTTGGTTTGTTGGCTAGTTGACTGGTTGGTTGCTTTGTTGGCTAGTTGACTGGTTGGTTGGTGTGTTGGCAAATTGATTGGTTGGTTTGTTGGATGGTTAACTGATTAGTCAGTAGGTTTGTTGACTGGTTGGCTGTTAATCTTCTGGAAGACTGAGTTTTTTCTCTCAATCTCTTAGTGCTGCAGTCATCTCAGCTCCACAAAACTTGTATCTGCCCAAAGTGAAGTAGTTGTAGAAACATTTATTCTGCTTTCTTTACCAAAGCATAGTAAAATTACTAAACAGTGATAGAATCATTCAAAGCTTTTCTGTGAGTCCTTTCTGTCGACAAACTGTAAAAGACTGAGAGTTTCTTACTGTGATCATCTGATGGTGAGCTGCAGAGCTGTGATACTGTTTTACAAAAGGAGCTGGGGACTATCAAAAGCACAAACTGAAGTTTTCAACAGCCTGCAGCATGACATGAAAGGATTTCCTACAAGCTCACAGTGTTAGAAAGACGTGCCTTCGAAAATCCACAATCGAACGATCCCATAGACATCCACAGACCACCCTTCCCTAGTGGCTGCCTCTAACTCTCTTACAGCAGATGAGAAAAGAATAAACAAGATTATATTTCTAAATCTTGGGGGAAAAGACAGACTTACTGTACAATAATTCTACATTTTAGGGTAAATTTCATCTTCTTTTGTTGTGATTGCCCTTAAATGAGCAGTTGGCATCTTGCCTTGTGGTTTTCAGCTATGCTGTGAAATCTTTCAGCCCAAAGCATCAAAATTCAGCAAACCGCTAATCAGTTACTTTTAAGTCTTGCGTATCAAGGTGATTGGGGGGGGGGGGGGGGGGGGGGTCCTATTCTTTTTTCTTTAAAATTGTGTCCTTGAACCCACATGAGGTTAGGGTAAATGAGAAGGGCCCAAACAATATTGTAAGGTACTCCTCCATCTTTTAGGTACATGAGGAAGAACAAAATAAGACTTGAAGGTACATCATGTACATATAAAAACAGAGGAGGATAAGCAAAACTAGACTGTAAGATACTTTTAAGCCCTGGCAAAGTAAATGGAATAAAATTCTTTTTCTTCTTCTTCTTTACGTCCTCTTTTACCGCTTCAGGTGTATAAAGATCCTGCTTCATGCTTTTCTGGCTACTTCAACCAAAGACACATCGTGGTACTGTAGAGTTTCTCTCATATTATCCTTCCATATTGTTCTTGGTCTACCTCTTGCTCTATGTCCCTCTCCTCTTTTGGTATATGCCTGGAATGGTTTAGCATCAGAAGGCATACTTTCCAAGTGGGCTTACAATTTGATTTGCTGTCTTTCTATGTAATTTAAAACTGGTTTTGTGCCAACTTTATTCAGCACAGAATAAAATTAACTGACATAATTTACTAACAACAGTTCATATGGACAATAATAGTTAAGGGGAAAGCATAATTGGAATTATAATTAACATACTTACATTGCCAGGAGCAACAACATCATTACAGAAGTAACATCCAAGCTGGCATCCTGAAATTGGTGCCTTTGTCGTGTCAGGTAATTGTGATCTGGTTTCTGGGCCTTGGTTGTTCTTGACTCCGTGTCGCAGGACAAGAAATGTGTCAAAACCAAGTGCTGCGTTGATGACAATCTAAACACCAAATTAAATAATAATAACAATCGTTGTGGCTCATGATTAACTGGTAATATCATGAGAGCATTCTTCTTTCTTCTTTTGTGTCACTGATACCTAGCTGTAACCCATTGTTGTGGTTTTCTGTATTTGTCTTGCATTTCTCTGGAGGATTTGTTAATTTTTTGGCAGGGTACAGCTACACCATTTATCCGCCTCTTTTTTGGTTTTCCTCTCGCCTTCCTCCCATATGGTCTACTGTAAAAAGTCTCATTTGCAGTTTGGTCTGGTGGCATTCTCATTAGATGGCCGAACCACTTCATTCTTTGTCTGTCAACATAGTCCAGACATAAACATATTCTAACTTTCTCTCTACTGCTGGTGTTCATAACCCCGTCCCTTTTTGTGTCGTTAGTGACCTTGCGGAGACAGCGCATTTCACAGGTAGTTATTTTCTGTTCTAGTGCCTTATTCATGCATAAGAGCATTATTAAAAATAAAATGACCCCATAGCTGGGACGACTAACAGGGTCAACAAATGCCCACAGAAGTTGGATGTGTTGACCAAAAAGTGCAAATATCGCAGCCATGCAGTAAACGAGCACCACACAATTACATCTTTGGATGAATGCAGAGGAAGAAAAGAAAGAAATTATCCCATAAGAAATATTTATAAAATTGAGTAAGGCAGTGGCAATCCACTGACAGGTAATTATCAGACTTAACATTTTCACCCGGTAAGAACTTGGTAAACATAAACTGTTTCAAAATTGTATTAAAACGAAATGCATTGTTTTGATTCTCTGACAACTCTACTCTAGGAAAGTGGAGACAAAGAAGAAGAGGCAAAAGAAATTAGGAGCCTTGGTCAGTTTTATAAAAGTCCAATGGGTTCAAACCTATGACCACATAGCAGACAAAGACAAAGATCTTCCTGGCCATTGCCATAGCACTGCCACCACAACTCACTAAAATATATGTATATATATAGGTGTGTGTGTCTGTATGTATGTAAACGTGCGTGTGTGCCCATCGTTAAATTCACCCCATGGCTGTGGAACCTACAAGGAAAACCAGGTTATAAGATATACATTCTCTCTCCCTCTCTCACATAGAATTATATACACTGCTAAAGGACAGGAGTTTTGCACTGTGTCCAGTGTTTGAAGATTACATCCCTGAGATGGACATCAACCTTGATAAGAACATTCTTTGGCTTTAACAGTCATGTTCAGCATAATTTTACGCAGGGTTTCGGCTGGGGTAGCCACTATCTCCCTTCGGATGTTGTCCTTCAGTTCATGGATGGTAGTGGGCTATGTGGTGTAACATGTAACAGTAACTCCCATCCTTACACTTCCTATTAAGCTATATCATCAACAAGGCACAGACAGATCATTACAGTCTGAGGAAAATGACGCTGCAATAAGTTACCAGGGGATCTGGCCAATGCTCGACACTCAAGGGAAAGGTGAGACAGATGTATATATAGATAGTTACTGGTGCCATTGGAATAAAACTATTTGCTTGCTGCTCAAGATGGGGATGGAGTGCTTATGTGAGTGTCCTGAGTGCTATGATATTGATTCTTAATTCCCCATTCTCAACCATATCTAAACATGCATGATAGTTACTGCTAGCAGTAATTTAAATACAAATGTGTCGCATCAATATGGCCCACGCCGTATATCTCTGAGAGCAAGACAAACTGTGTGTAGAAGGTTTTAACAGCTTTGCAACAAATAATAATGTCAACCAAATCAGCTTCATTAACATGTCAGATGAGACAGTAGAGATTATGCTAGTGTCTCCTCCAAACATGGCAGCCAAAAGATGATGAGAAGATTAGACCAAGGGTTCCCAAAAAGTTCAGACCTGACAGCCTCTCTTTTTAAAGGTCTGCCAAAGACCCCATATTGTGAATAGTCACACTGAAGAACTTATTCTGATTAAAAATATCAGAATCACACAAAAAAGGATTGCATTCTAAAGTTAAGTTGTTTGTTTTTCTAACTCTATTCTAAAATTTAGGTGGGTTTTTTTAAAATGATTTTGCAGACCTCTTAACTTCTTTAGTTCTGCATGGTGCTAGCTAATGCCCAAGAGAATTAAGACTGGCAATACTAAACCCATGGGCATACTACTTCAAAAGGGACCAAATATCCAACCCTTGTAGGAAATACATATGTTGCCAGTGGTGGCTGAGTGGTCTCAAGGCATGGTGTCCTCCTTGAGTGCTAGAGGTTCAGGGTTCAATCCCCGGTGAGGGCTGGGATTTTTTCATGTGGACTTGGGACTTCCAGTAATTTCCCCTCGTCTCTGGGTAGTGAGATTGGATGCCTGTGTTAATTGTTGCGCGCATAAAAAAATCCCTTGGCAGTTGGAAATTGAGAAAAGTAGCTTGACGGCGCTGCCCGGGCAAAACTTGGAGTTTAAAATCTACCCAAAGTATTTCAGGATCCTAGCCGGTGCTACAGAGCCTGTGCACTGGGCCGAGCTTCATCAGACTCAGACTCTGGATTAGAAGAAGAACGGAGCAATTATGGGTTACGCCTGTATGCCAAGATGTTGATCTGTTGTTCAAAATCTCAAACCCATTACAGTAAAACGTTTTTTAACATGAAAACCTAGTTGACAGATTGTAGTTTTGGTTCCAGCTAGGATATTATTCATAATATATCTAATAGTTATTTAGTTGCTTGGCTAGTTAACAGATTTTCCTCATTACACATCAAACCATTCAGTCCATTAGTACTCAGATTCCCCCCCCCCCACCCCTCAGTAAATTTCCCAATGTGCAGCGGCTGATGACGCCAGTTCTGTGTTGGTTTCTTATTCTTCTTTAGCTTCCTGCACAGTGCTCTTGTCTATTGACACCCTTCTGAGATCTACTAGTACTTTTTTAGCACGAATTTCTTAACTTTTTATGAACGCTTGATTTTGTTATCCTTTAGAATTCGTTAGAAAGTCTACAAATTACAGATATAAACTTATCTTAAAATTACCAAACTGAGTGATAAAGTCAAGACACGTTTTGTTGTATTGGGTCTGATGCCATTTCTTGAGTTCTCTTCTATTTATCATCAAGCTCAGTCTGTCTCATTTAATGGTGTGCGGAACAAATTGAACTCTTTCTCTCCAAAACAAGGCACTATGCGTGACTGGATATTAGTCACGTGTACCAGTCAACATGATATTTATGTTTTTACATCTTATGTTTAGTGAGAGACTCTGCCAGAACTCTGGCAACATGTTTGAGGTTGGAAGTTTGAGGTTTGAACAATGGATTAACATCAGTGCACACAGGTAGTAACCCAAAAGTGCTCCAGGGATATATTAATCTCTGCCATCCAACTGCACTTTTTCTATTAATCTTGCCTGTTGTAGCCAACTTCTTGAGTCCATCCCTTCTCACAACATGACCCCAAAAAACAATGACTGGTTTATAGATGACCATATAATAACAGCATAATATGATGTGTCTAGAGCCCAATGTTACCATTTGTAACTACCTTTTGCTTGGAAGCAGCTATTAAAGATGGCAGCCATCGACTCTCCCTTGTATCCATCAGTAGAAAAATTGCATCATGGGAATCGATCAGCTCCTCAAGCTTTGCCACTTGATCTTTCGTTTGTTGCAACAGTGAATCTGCAATAATAAAAAACCTATACAGGCGTGCTACAAGTATCTTACCCTTCTTCAGGAGGTGGATCTGAAGCAGACATCAGCAATCGTGACTCTCCACTTCTCTCTGGTGTTTGATATTTCAACGAGGTTGGTGATGGTTGAATTATTATCTGTTGTCTTCATATTTAACAGTGAGGGGAAAACTGCATACGTAAGCTGAATAGGAGTAGGACTACAAAGTAGACCAAGAGGCAGCAGAGAGATAATATACAGGAAGATCTACAAACATCTGGAGTCACCGATGGGAATGAGACAACCAATCACAGAGAGGAAAGGAGGTGGATGCAATCTGCAGCAATTAACCTCAGATGCAGCAGAGGAAGATCGAAACCTGGTGTCATGAACCAGGTCGGCCCACCTTCCAAGACTGTATAGGAAGTAATTGGCAGAAACAATCGTCGAGGAGGGATCTTTCTACTGATGACGCCTGATGTGCATGCCCCTCTGTGGAGTTCTTCTTACAGGAGCTCAGAATGCTGAAGAACAAGAAGAAGATGGAGAAAAGGAAACAGAAAAGTAGACTTTTCAGTACTAAAACATTTTTTGTGGATTCATTATATAGAAGTAATAATAAAAAGATACAGACAATTTATGTTCAATTTAATAAAATACAGAGTGAGGTAATAAAAGAAAAGTTGGTACAGAGCCAACTCTAAATAAGATACAAAGATAGCAAATCAAATTATTTGCCTGCTTAGACAGAACGTCTTGAGTTACCATACTATAAAAGGTAGAGTAAAGGTAAAGTCGGGAGATGTGAACTAGCGTCATTGCACACAGTTGTAAACCATAAGTGCTCTGCCACCTGTACGGACAGCTGATAAAAATGTTGAATGCTGAATTAGGAATTGACATCACAGCACTCAGGACACCCCCATAAGCGCTCTGTCTCCATCTCCAGCAGCAAGCGATGAGTTAAATTCGGATGGTACCAGTAACTTTCTGATTGTATATCTGTCTCGCCGTCCCCTGAGTGTCGAGCGTAATAGCTGATAAGAATAAAAGAAGGTATCCGCCTGTATTGCAGTCCGTGTGCAACTCTGTAGCTACAGCGACGTTCCTTCAATTAACTCAAGAGTGTTAACTCTAATACCCATTACCTAGAGGCTGGGTGAACCCCAGGAACCGTCTGTTTTAAACACCGGCTTTAAGCTGCAGCAAGTTGCAGCTGGATTTGAAAACGAGTCTCCTATTGACTAACACCTCCCATACCATACTATACAAGAGGGCTATTCAACTAAGTTTACCCAGGGAACACAATTTAACAAATGGGCATCCTCATGGAACCTTGGGGTGCCACTTATTAGGCCTCCGCAGGCCAGATCTGGCCCATGAGCTACCAGTTGAATAGCCTTCCTATACAAGAGTAAGTAAATTTGACCCCACCAGACACCTGGTAACACAAAGTGACACCATGAGGATGAGAATCACCCGTAGAAAGGTCCCGGAAAGCGCGTTCAACCGTCAGGCCCTTGGCAAAAGCCAGGTTAGGTCTTTAAAAATAAAACAAAAAATTGCATTCCTCAAAGGGGAGGAGGAAACAATCATAACCTATACAAGATATACACTTAAAAAGGAGAAAGACAAAGAGCATGAGGTAAACCAAGAACAAGATGGAAAGATAAAATCAGAGAAAGTCTACAACCTAATAATGTGTCTATGGGTGAGCAAGAAGCAAAACCTTATACTTCCCTTGACACTAGAAGCAGCAACAAATTTAGTGAAGAAAAGTAAAGAAGACAATTTATGATCATGGCAAAATCAAAATATAATAGTTATTAGAAGTGTTCTTCCATGTCACTAGATACAAATGATGGCAACAGTGGTCACGAAATGCTATAATTGTGGAAGACTTTTCTTGAGATTTGAACAACGGATCAACATCATGGCACACGGGTAGTAACCCATAAGTGCTCTGTTCTTCTTCTTACTCAAGTCTGAGTCCACAGAAGCTCAGCACTGGCTCTGTAGCACCGGCGAGGATCCTGAACTACTTTGGGTAGATTTTTAACTCAAAATTTTGCCTGGGCAGTGCCGTTAGGCTACTCTTTGTGATTTCTGACTGCCAAGGGATTTTTTACGTGTGCAACATTCAACATGGGTGTCCGATCTCACTACCGAGAGACCAGGGGAAATTTCTCTAAAGTCCAAGTTCAAGTGAAAAAAATCCCAGCCCTTACCAGGGATTGAACCGGGAACCTCTAGCACGTGAGGCAGACACCATGCCTCAAGACCACACAGCCTCCAGACTTTTCCTAACATGGGTGAGTCTTGCTAGTCGCACTCGCCATTGCCATGGGATGTGAGTCGCATGCTTCCTGACAGTACAGTATAACAATATTGTCTGTAAAGACCGAACAGTGCCAAAAACAGTCTACCATGAATGCTTGGAAATGACAGTTCCCAATACTGCCTGTTTAAGAGCTGTTTTCAATATATGTCTTTAGCTTTCCTCAGTCTCTGGTGTCTAGTATTTTCCATTTACCTGTAAATGCTCAACTCAGCCTCTTCTGTTCATGTGTTCCACAAATGTAATTTGTCTGTTACTAATGATTTTGATCAGTGATCTTGTAACACTTGCATCTCTCAATACCTCAGTTTCTGTTTTCTTCTCTGTCAATTTTCTCCTTCTTTTTCTCTATCTTCTGCATTCACATGTAATAACTACCAATTTAAGAGGGCAGCACAGAAGAAGAAAAAATAAGGAAATGTAGCAACATTAAAGAAATGTATATATTTTTGTTTTCATGCTAACTCTCTCTCTCTCTCTCTCTCTCTCTCTCTCTCTCTCTCTCTCTCTCTCTCTCTCTCTCTCATGATAAAATTTAAAAAAACGTTACTGTGACTGTACATGCTAGTAATTTATTTATCTCTCTTCTTCTTCTTCTTCTGTGCTCCTCCTCTAAAGAGTAGTTGGCACGTCATAATGTGGTCTACAGCTAGTCTGCAATATCTCCACCTTTCTGGCTTAACATATCTGATTGTAGCAAATCCCTGATAGACAGCCATTTATGATATGCTTGTTAAGGGGCGTGGGTCTATTCTTTTTTCTTTCCCAAATGGAGCCCTGGAACCCAGACTTGGAATATACATAGATAAATAGAGCCCTCAAACTCGCACTGGGAACATACACATATAACTATACATATGTAAAGGATTCTTCACGTACCTGTAACCATGTGACCAGGCATAGGAATCGACAAGGTGATACCTTCAGATCTCTGGCAAAGGATAATAGGCAATAAAGAAAAGATGAGGAATTCATAGAAGTGTTGAACTGAGTTCAATTGAGTTAAGAATTGATATCACAGCACTCGGGGCATTCCAATATGTGCTCTGTCCCCATTCTCAGCAGCCAGTGCAGAGCTCCAATACTAATGGTACCAGTCGTAGTCTGGCTGTATGTCCGTCTTGCATTTCTTCTGAGTGTAATGTGCCGACCGAACCTTCTGGTCACACCCAGGTGAATCATTCTCTCCAACCCACAATAATCTAGTTTCTCTTCTGACTTCGTTACTTGTTTCCAAAGGGCTCTGACCAAATCTGCCTTGTCATGTATCACTTCACCACCCAGCAGTGCAGATCCAGCCAGTCTGTCTGCCTGTTCATACCGCACCACACCGGCATAGCCTGGAGAAAAGATCAGGCTTCGGAAAATCACTTCAGGTAGTCTACAGTGTGAATGGGTAGAAAGCAATGTTGCAGTTAACCTCCATCATCTGGGTCTACACACTTGGGTACACAGGAGTAAATGGTAATGAAAGAGCTGACCAGCTGGCAAGTAAGTCACCAATGCAAATGGGATAAAGCATGGACACAGCTGATATGATCAATGCTATACAGATTAGGTTGACGCTAACATGACTACTTGACCAAGGAGTTAAGATTGGTGAAGCACGTCTTCGAAGTAAAGACAGGAGATTCTATAACCAGCTACTTTTGGGAACAATCAGTAGAGGTACCTTGGAGTGGCTGCTGTATCAGAGGACTGAGCATGCATGGGGATGCCCAATGTGCAAAGACGTCGACTGTGATAACATAACATTTCCTTTATAGTCGGACTGCAGCTGCCTGAGAGGTGAGCGACCAACAATGTTGAATGCTTAATTAAGAATCGACGTCACAGCATTTGGGGCACTCCCATAAGTGATCAGTCCCCATCTTCAGCAAGCGAAGAGTTCCAATTCCGATTGTACCAGTAACACTGATTGTATATTCGTCTTATTCTTTCCCTGAGTGCTGAGCGTCGGCCAGATCCCTGGTAACTCCTCGCAGGGCCATTCTCCTTAGACCGTAATGATCTATCTGCACCTCCTCACTGTTCACTTGCTCCCAAAGGGCCTTCACAATATCTAACTTGTCATACATCAAGTCACCACTTAGTGGTGCAGAGCCAGCCAATTTATCTGTCTGCTCATTTCCAAACACACCGGGGAAAATATCCATAGGATGCTAACTACCCAGGACCTCTGAAGTGATGCTTGCCACTCTGCATGAAACATGCCTGTTTTCACCAACAGTCTGCTTACAAATACCCCAGGTCTGTAAAATAGACCTGCATGCAAAACTTCAGTTCTGGTCCATAAGTGGACGAGCAACCAGATTCTTCCCATGTTTACAGACGAAGAACACCAAGAAAAAGAATTTTATCCTTTCCCCCTGCACACAGCTCCCATGTCTTCCCCATTTTAGTTTTAAACTTTATCAATATTGCATTTGGAGAGCCTTCCCATCTTGGTTGGTTAGGTATTACTTGTTTCTATTTTTTTTAACTTGTCCATGGTTGGTTGGTTTTTGTGGCTACAGTGATTTATGGGGTGAGGTATCCAACTCCAAGCCCAACCCTCCCCTTTGTCCTCGCTTACAACATGCCTGGTAGGGTGCAGTGTTGCTTTTCTTTGCTTCTGATGTGTTATATTGAAAAACATAGGTGGTACTGATTCCAAAACATGGGTAGTACCGATTCCAAAACATAGGAAGTACTGATTCCAAAACATGGGTAGTACCGATTCCAAAACATGGGTAGTACCAATTCCAAAACATAGGTAGTACTGATTCCAAAACATAGATAGTACCAATTCCAAAACATAGATAGTACTGATTCCAAAACATAGGAAGCACTGATTCAAAAATTTGGGTAGTACTGATTCCAAAACATGGGTAGCACTGATTCCAAAACATGGGTAGTACTGATTCCAAAACATGGGTAGTACTGATTCCAAAACATAGGTAGTGCTGATTCCACACATTACAGTCTAGTCATCAATTTTAGATCAAGTGTGTGTTATTGTCGCAGGTATTTCCCGATGCCAAGCTATCCAGGCATAAAGATAATGATGGTGATGATAATAATGATATTAAAGGTGATGGTAATGGTGATAATGATAATGATGGTAATGATAATGATGGTGATGATGACAATGATATTAAAGGTGATGGTAATGGTGATATTGGTAATGATGGTGATAGTAATGACAATGATAATGATGTTGATGATGATAATTATGATAATGATGGTGATGATAATAATGATATTGAAAGTGATAGTAACGATGATAATAATAATGATGGTGATGGTAATGATAATGATGGTGATGATGACAAAAGTAATGATGATGGTGACAAAAGTAATAATATTGGTGGTGATGATGGTAATGATAATGATGTTGGTGATAACAATGATAATGATGAAGTTAATCATAATTATGGTGATGATGGTAATAATATTGAAGGTGATGGTAATGATGGTGATGATGGTATGGATAATGATGGTGATAATAATGATAATGATGGTGGTGATGATAATGATACCAGTAATGATAATGATGATGGTAATAGTAATGGTGGTAATGATAAAGATGATGATGATGATGAGAATGACAATCATGATGACGATAATGACAAGGAGAAAAACTGAAAACAATATCTCACCATTCCAGGAAAAATGGTCTTCAATGAAGCGGCTGCAGCCTCTGCTTTTGGTTGTCCCCCATTCAAACAATGGTCGAAGGTAAACAAGGTTTGCCGAACTGGATTGGAGTAAGATACTTTAGAGTTGTCTACCATAGTGATATGTCGTATGCCCCAGCTCTGCAACACAAAGAATACATAATGTTTTCACTTTTTTGTTGTCACTCCACTTCGAATCTATTCTTTCCTCTTCCCAGTATTCCCCATCTGTACACTCTGGCAGAAAGTTCTGGCTGTTAGTCCACTACTGGATTTTGGTCTTGTTCCAAAACTTGAGTTTTGTGTGCACATCCACTTTACAGATCTGGCTTACTGTGTGCAAACTGTTGGTTCCTCACCTTTCAGGCAGATACTCTGTTACTTCAAAGGAAACAACCCTAATCAGTCGCCTTTTGTGAGGCTTGTTGCTTGATGGGACAGCAGTGGAGCTAATTTTCGCTCCCCAAAAAGATCCCAGGAACACACAAGGGCAGTGTTCCCAAACTTTTCAATGAAAATTTTTCTAAGGCGCCCTTACCTAAGTAATAGTATGACTCTTGGTGTCTTGGTTAAACTAATCACCTACAGGTTTGCCTGCAGTGCAATAATCAAGATGGTGTCAACTACCTACCATCAGCAACCTGGCTACATTACACCCCAGAGTTCCAGACCCCAGAATAAGGCCACGAGTTGCAGATATTTTTTCTAGGTCAAGGTCAGGTAATAGCCGCCATCGCATCAGTTTCAGGTTAAGGTCAACTGCTGACTCTGCCAGTCTGAAAATACAAAGACATTAGTCTTAATAGAATACTGAGCTTGAGATGGGGTTCTTTCCCACGTGGGTTTCTGGGTCCCACTGTGGGGGCAAAACAAGAAAAGACTCACTGCCTACACAACAAGCATATCGTAGAAGTCGACTTATTGGGGACGTCCGTCGAAGTCGGAGTACATCTGCCTGAGAGGCAGGGAACCACAAGTCTGCCTTAGAATAAGCCAGATCTGTTAAATGGATGTGCACGCAACACTCAGGTTCTGGAATAAGACTAATGTCCGTTGGTGAACGAACACCCCAAAACTTTCCACTGGAGTTTACAGCTACTGAACGCAAAGAAGAAGAAGATGTAGTTCTTATCTTCAAAATTCTGTCAGAGACTAAACTGTTTTTAATAGTCAAATTTAAGAATACATTCTTTATTTTGTCCCTATTCTGCTTTGTGCCTCCAGGCATCACAGGTTAATAGATGACCAGGATCCGAGCTAGGGCACACTAGGTTGCTTGCTATGCAGTGATGTGGTGGAGTCTCAAGCTATCAGTGACTCCCTCGATCCATCTTCTTCCTGGTCATCCCCTAACTCTTGGTGTTTCTACTTTCATGTTGTACACTCTCATTGCTGGCATCATCAGATTTATTTTCAATAAATGGCCAAACCATTTCAGCCTTTTTTTCATGAATTTAATTATAAGTTGTTCTAACAGTTCTTGTAATTTCTTCATTTCTCACATGATCTCTTCTAGTTTTGTTCAGTCTTTCTCAAATATCTCATTTCACATGTGGTCAGTTTTCTTTTGGAAGAATATATTATAATTTTTAAATATCGCAAACAGGAAAGCTTTCTGAAGGTGATGTTTTCTGGTTTTCTTTTTCTTTTGGGAAGGCAGGAGGTGAGGGGGGTGGGGGGGGGAGGGGGGGGGCAGGCGGGTTAAAATAGTAGCACGGACCTCTTAAATTTATTCTGCAGATCCCAGGGGTTAAAAGGACCATCAAATTGGAAAGCGTTAAATAGAAGGATGAGTGACATGATCTTCATCAAGAACCTTGCCAAATGGTGTCAGTGATCATGCTTTTTTAATATCTTGAGACCACACAAAAAATCTGTAATTTCCTGCAGTACACTGTGTCTATTGTCAAGGTAATCAGAAAAGCAAAAACCAGAACCTTGAATCTCCGTCATCGCCCAAAGAAGTAAAAGGGCAAGCGAAGAAGAACCGTTTAGGTACCAGAGTGGTAGCCCACAGGATTCATGAAAACTATAGATTTAGAGACTGAGATAATATTGAAAATATATGAGGTGAATTGCTAGAGATGGCAAAAGACAGGACAGTTTGGTTTAAGCCTCTGATCCAAAGAGGAGTAAAGGCCAGAAGGAAGAGAAAAAGGAGGAGAAGAAGAAGGATAAGAAAAAAAAGAAGAAAATAAAGAAGAAGAAAAAAGAAGGACAAGTAAGAGGAGGAGGAGGAGAAGGATGAGGAGAAGAAGAAGAGGTAGAAGGGGAGGTAGGAGAAGTACTGCAATGACCCCCACACACAACACTGAAAGTAAAGCCAGCCTGCACACACACATAACTCACTTGACTGGGTCCATGGAACTACTCAAGTTGACCAGTTTTGGCACCAGCTTCTGCTTCTCATTCTTCTCCCAGCCCACACAATCTGGAACACCTGGGCAGCGACAGCAACATAAGATAATCAGGTCTGCTAACATTATTTATGGTTGACTTCTAAGGCATCCTATGATCTTTACAAAATAGATGTAACCACGTCTTGGTGTAAAGTTTTAATGATTGACAATAATGTGTGTGACAGAGAAAGACAGAGAGATAGATAGTGAGAGAAGGGAGAGACAGAGACAGAGATAGAGAGAAAGAGACAGAGAGACAGAGATGTTCATCCCCAGTTACAGTGGACTACACGTTGTTTTTTTGTAACTGATGTGCACTTCCAATATAACTGAGTTAAACACTTCATCAGGGTGTCTGGGATTTGCTTCTGCTCGATTACGTCTGAATAGTGACTATTGGGTTACTGGGTGTCAATCTTTTAGGTGGCATTACTTGGGTAACTGGGTGTCAATCACTCGGGTGGCACTCCTTGGGTCACTGGGTGTCAATCTTTCTGGTGGCAGTTCTGGAGTGGAAAAATTAAGAGAGAGGCAGAGATAGAGGGAGTGAGATATAGATAAAAAGACAGTACTAATGGCAATAGAGCGAGGGGGAGTCAGAGAGAGAGAGATGGAGTGAGAAAGAAAGACAGTAATGGCTATTAAAAGAAACCATTAGAGAGACAAAGAGAACCAAAAGTTGCTTGATTTCCATACATCAGATTTTGTAGAGAGTTACTTGGTCTGTATCTACCTTCCCCAGCCATCAAAGGGATAATATGGTCAGTGATGTCCTAGCCAAACTCACACCCGCACAGGAACACAGCAGTAATGGCACCACAACATCTAGCATGAGAATGGAGATGGAGGTGGTAACTGTAGCTCTCTGGTGGCTAGAGAACAAGATGCATACCCATGCCGTAATTGTAACAGACTCTGAAGGCATGCTGCGAAAAGTGAAGACAGTTATGCTTCGAGCAGAGTGGCAAGCTTCACAGGGAAGGTCATAGGTAGTGAACATACTTTGGATCTTTTCTCCAGGCTATGCCGGCGTAGTGAATAATGAATAGGCAGGCAGATTGGCTGGATCTGCACCAAAGGGTGGTGAACTGATACATGAAAAGGCAGATGTGGTCAAGGCCTTTTGGGAACAAGCAATGGAATCAGTAGAGAAACAAGATTATTATGGCCTGGAGTGAATGAGGCAACTGGGTGTACCCAGAGGGCCTGGCCGGCTCACTACACTCAGAGGAAAGTCAAGACGGACATATAACCAGATTGTGACCAGTACCATAAGTATTGGAACTCTGCGCTGGGTGCTGAAGATGAGGACGGAGCACATATGGGAATGCACCGAGTGCTGTGATGTCAATTCTTGACTTAACTCAACTTGAAATATACACACAGCACACTAAAGTATTCACACAGTAAGCTAAAATATGCATATTGTACGCTAAAATTTACAGTTTACACTAAATTATACACACTGCACAGTAAAATATACACACTGTACACTAAAATATACTCACTTTTTAATATAGACATGGTACATTAAAATATTTACAGTCCGCTGATATACAGTGTACGCAAAAATATGCACACTGCGCTAGAACATATAATGTACACTAAAATATACGCACAGTACGCTAAAATATACATAGTACACTGAAATATACACACTGTACACTAATATATACACTCTGTACAATAAAATATACATACTGTACACTACAATTAGACAAATAAGGCAACAACAATTAATACCATATTGAGAAATCCTGTTGAGAGATCATGTTGAAAGACTATGTTGAGAGACCATGCTGAGCTAAAAAAAATACTGAGCTAAAAAATACTAACTGTTACAGGATGCAGTGGCATCACTAAAAACAAAAAAGAACAGAAACAGACTGTGTTAACAAGAAATAGCCTTTCAGGCTTAGATAGGCCATTAGGAAGAAGAAGAAAAGGGGAAATGGAAATGGAAAGAGATAGAGGAGAAAAGGGGAAGAGAAAAAGAAGGATAAACTACATCACTCCAATTTTACCTTCCAATGTCAGGTCCTCTAATTTAGGAATCTCAACAGTGAAGATAAGACTGCTGCCAAAGTCACGCTTGCCTGCATGAGTACGGTCTCGGACAGACAAGACAGTCACTGTCGCTAGCTTGCCAGCACTGAAAAAATTAGCGTTTAACTTTTATAAAGATGTGTGATTGGTAACTGTAAACCTCTTTTAACTACAGTGAAAAGTCGAAAAAACGCAATGGTATGGACTTGTAAAAGATCTAATTGAAAGGCAAAATAATGAGTTGGTATGTACATGTAATAAGATCTATGGGCTCTCAAAAACAAAACTGCAGAGCTTAGTTGAGGGAAAGAGGAGAAGAGGCAGACCAGGAAAGACCTGGTTACAGAACCTGACTAACTGGACACGCCTCAGACATGAAACTAGGAAGTCCATCCCAACTGACCGCCAAAGGTGGAGAGAGATGATCAGACAGTCAACAGAAACTGGTGACCCAACAACACGTAGTGTAACGGGATGATGATGATGATGACACTTGAATATAACAATGAGTAAGATTAAAGCCCAGCTTGAATATAACAATGAGTAAGATTAAAGCCCAGCTTGAATATAACAATGAGTAAGATTAAAGCCCAGCTTAAATATAACAATGAGTAAGATTAAAGCCCAGCTTGAATATAACAATGAGTAAGATTAAAGCCCAGCTTGAATATAACAATGAGTAAGATTAAAGCCCAACTTGAATATAACAATGAGTAAGATTAAAGCCCAACTTGAATATAACAATGAGTAAGATTAAAGCCCAACTTGAATATAAAAATGTGTAAGATGATATATATATATCAACATGTAAGATGCCATTCTCTCATGCTGATATTTAAAAGTTGATAGATACAGTGGTGGAAGAAAGTGATAAAAATTAGCCTCATTTTGAATAATGGGAGGACAGAAGTAATCCTGATTTCCAAAAAAAGAATAGTGCTTAAATGTATAACAAAAGTCAAAGAAGTTATTTTAGGACAAGTACAGAAATTTAAGTATCCAGGCACATGGATAACATCCGATTTAGATAAATCACAGAGATAAAGAACAGAATAAGACAGGTCAAAACTGCCTTTTCTAAAATAAAGAACATTCTTCTATGCAATAAAACCATGTCATTGGAGGTTAGGAAAAGAATTCTCGCATGCTAAATAGACCCAGTTTTGACATACAGCTCTGAATCCTGGACAATTCATAAACAAGCAGAACAGTATTCTGAGGCTTCAGAGATGTGGTTTTATAGAAGAATGCATAGAATTCCTTGGACAGTTAAGAAGAGTAACGCAGATGTTTTGAAAGAGGTGGGAGCTTGAAGGCAAAGCATCAGAAAGAGACAGTCATCATTTTTTTAGTCATGATATGAGAAGAGGTAAACTGGAATATGTTGTGAGCACTGGAAAGATCTGTGGAAAAAAAAGACAGGGGAAGACAGCGTGAGAAGGTTCTTGACAGTCTTTTGTCATAGCATGGTGGGGTGTCAACACACGAACTGATACACAGATCGCAGATAGTGAAGAGGCATGATCGCCAGTCAGCAAAGCACTTGATGATGATGATAATGAAAGTCTGGCTTGTATTCAGCAATGTGTAAGTTGACAAATTAACCTGTATATAGCACTGTGTAATTTGACAAATTTACCTGTACATAGCAATGTGTAATTTGACAAATTTACCTATTAATAGCAATGTGTAATTTGACAAATTTACCTGTATATAGCAATGTGTAATTTGACAAATTAACCTGTATATAGCAATGTGTAAGTTGACAAGTTAACTGAAATACAGGTCTAGCCCTATATACCCAATATGCCTGACAAGCGTGGAAAAGGGTCCTTTACTTTGCTTTACTCTCTCTTCTCATCACATGACCAAAGAACACTGACTACTCATAACTGTTTATGACGATGAGAAAATACACAAATAAAACATTATCTAAAATGGGAAATATTACATCCTAATACAACACAGAGAAGCTAATTCTAGTTAAGAATGAACTATACGATGGCTTAGCAACAACAGCAACAAAATGCATGACAAGCTAGACGTAAAGGCCCTTATTGAGTGAGTAAACAGATCATCGCTGTCTGAAGAGAATGATGCATCTAGGGTTGACCAGAGGATATGGCCGAGGCTTACCCCTCAGAGAAGGGGCAAAACAGATATACAATCAGACTGTTTCTGGTACTATCGGAACTGGAAATCTGCCCTTGCTGCTGAAGGTGGGGGGACGGAGTGCGGATGGGAATGTCCAGAGGGCTATCATGTGGGTTCTTAATGTCATAAATCATCATCATCATAATCAAATGCCTTGCCGAATGCCAATCATGCCTCTCCACAATCTGCGATCTTCAGTAGCATGTATCAGTCCACTGACATCTCTCCATGCCATGACAGAAGGCTGTCAAGAATCATCTCAGTCACAACTCATAACCAGTTTTGGTAAAATGATATCTAAGGGAAAGGTGAGACAGATGTACATTCAGACATTCACTGGTGCCATTGACAATGGAACTCTTCAGCTTGCTGCTGAAAATGGGGGGGGGGGGGGAGGAGGGGAAACATAGTGCTTATAGTAGTGTCCCGAGTGCTATGATATAGATTCTTATTCAACATTCAACAGACACAAACAGAATGAAACATTAAATGAAATACATTCCCCAGGGCCTAGTAAAATATAAATATCAGGTGACTCATGAAACGACCCCACGACCTCCATCATTGAGGCTTTTAGGAATACTCTTACCACTTTTTTAAGGACAGTTGGGGATAGTTAGTCTGACTATTTAGGAATGTATGGCTAGGAGAGTCAACACAAGCTGTGCAGGTTAGGATCCCCCCCCCCTCCCCATAAAATAAAACATGCAAACATCATAAGGATTTCAACCCGTCTCTAAAAACAGAACACATTGTTTTCAACTGCTCAGCAGCTTCCTATTCTTCTGTAACTGCCCTGAAAAAGACAGGCTATGTGGTTTACAGCTAGCCTGTAATATCTGCATTTTTCGCCCTCTAAACTGTAATATCTGCGTTTTTCACCCTCTTTTCTTTTTTCTTTTCCTAAAACTGGGGACCCGTGACCGACTCAGCCACCACTCAAATGACGTATATCTGATTTAAATTAAGAAAAGCTTGGAACACAAAGAATGAACAAGCAGAGTAATTCGGGAGGTCTGAAAATGCTTTCATTACAAATGACTTACAATGTGTAGGTCAGCAGCGTGACCAGATTTCTGACTGGCCAGCCTGGATAGCCTGGAAATGAGCAGGGATCACAAGCAGCAAATATAACCTGAATGGAAGAGCATTTGTGACAGATTAAACATTGATGATTTACACTTCTGACATTTTTGTGTGCAAATATCCTTTGGTATATTACAGGAGAATAAGCATCTATTAGTCTCTGGTGTAGCCCACAATGTAGATTGGGGGGGGGGGGGGTGGTGGTAGAGGGAGAAGTCTGCAATGTAGATGGAAGAAAAGGTAGGCCACAATGTAGATGGAAGAAAGGGTTATAATAGTAAAAAAAATGCTGTTTTATTTCCAATTTAAAACATAACTTACCTTCTGCGAAGATGTCAAGAACTTCTCTATTTCTGCTAGATCATGTACACTGTAATTGTCTTCATTGCAACAGATGAGAAAAAATGGGCTATAACTTGGTCTGCTAGTTTGGTATTTGTCGTACGCTGATATCAAAGATGACAGCTGTTAGAAACATATTTTTTAATGTGATCACAAATATATAAGATACAGACACATATTGTTTTAGCATATAATATAACCATAGTGACTACTTGTTATGCATATCTGGCCAACAGCACTATACATGGGCGACCAACAACAACAACAAAACAAGTAAAGAGATCTTGGACGCTTCTAAGAGGCTGCACTATTGCAGGATGTAAAAAATTTAATGGGGCTTCTGTTTCTGCTCCTTCTTCTCTTCCATCTTGTACCTCAGTGAAGTGTCGGGGGGAGATGTAACATTCGTTGATAAGCTCTGTCAAGAGCACTATTAAGACTGATGTTCATTTCTGTAAGGCAGTTCTTAATGTCATCACTCCCTATTTTCCAAGGTCTTCCACTCGCTCTATACCCGTTGTAACGTTTTAGTTTGGCTCGCTGTGGTAGAAAGTACCAGGGCATTCTTGTTAGGTGTCCAGACCACTTCATTTGTTGTTCTTTGATGATTTGTAAGACTGGCTTTATTCCAAGCATTTGTCTGATTTCATGATTTCATATTCTGTCTTATAAATGTGCAGGTGAGATAAAATGCATATTCGTAATGATACTGGAGAAAATTATTAAATCTGGAAGATTTTATACACACTAAAAAAAACAAAGAAGAACAAAATATAAAAACAAAACCAGTAATTATAGTGCAATGAATATAACATAATAGACCCAGCAAAATATATCTCTTCTTGAAATGCTCATAATAAGCGAGACTAGAGTATATGATATGTCTGTGTGTTTGATATTCTCAAATGCTAAATTAATACATATTTGTGAGACCTATGGTGCTTTGTAAGAAGGTAAACAAAATTCTTATTTTCTTCTTCACCAGCTGTAAACTCCAGCGGAAAGTTCTGGGTGTTTATCAACTTCTGGACTTTAATCCTGTTCCAGAATCTGAGTCCTGCATGCACACTCATTTTACAGATCTGACTTATGTGTGTGCAGACTGTTGGTTCCTCTCCTCTCAGGCAGATGCACTCCAACTTTGAAGGAAGCTCCAAATCAGTCAATCCTTACGACATGCTTTTGGGTAGGCAGCAGTACTGTTCTTGTTCTCCCTATAATAGGGGACTGAACCTACAAGGGGAGTTATATTTAACTGAACTGAAGTGGAGTCTCACTTAAAAATACCTATGGATGATGTAAAAAGAAAGCAGGGCAGACAATTGAAACACATTCTAAGCCAATACTGTTTTCTTGTATACATATATCTCACCTGTTCCTTTGATAATTTCTGTTGTAATGGCTCTGGACTTTCAACATAGTTGCTCTTTTCTGGAAATTTCAGTGCGGGGAAGGCAAACCAGTAGTAGTAATGGTATTTCTTCAGGTCCTTTTGAAGTAATAAATAATTTTATATGCAACCATGATGGCTTGAGAGAAGCACAGCCTAATATGTTGAAACTGTAATGGACTCGCAGAGCAGACTCGTGGAACACCCCCCCCCCCTAACCTTTTGCCAAGGTGACAGGTTCAGCAGCTACCAATGAGAAATGACCTAGTGTGTATATGAGTGGGGTGTGGGGAGAGTAACGTTACGTGTACAGAATAGGAATGCAGGCAGTAACAGCAGCTTTTCTGATGGCTTGAGAGCAGCACAGCCTAATATGTTGCAACTATAATGGACTTGCAGAGCATGCTTCAGAATACTGACACTGGCGTCCTGTGCACTTAACTATTTGAGTCCCAGGGGGTTTAGCATCACAGGACCCAAGGGTTAGTCAAGAGAGACGTAAAATCGGCGCATCATGCGTTCATTGGGCCTCTAGGTAGGAATCTAGGAATGTATGATGCATTCCTTGGGACTCAAAGAGTTAATGGCTTGCACCACTCGATAAGACTCATTTCAGGTGCATATCATGAATTTTTCGTCCAGAACATTCTGCTGCGTGAGGTAATGAGCAGGCTGACAGATAAGCAGATTCTAAGCGGTGAGCTACTTGATGATGAAGCAGACGTGGTGAAGGTTCCCTGGGATCAAATGGACAGTGCAGCATAACAGACAGACAATCCATTCAATAAAAGAGTAATTAAACGGGGAGAGAATCCATACACTAAGTGACTAACTTAATGGGGAGAGAATCCATACACTAAGTGACTAACTTAATGGGGAGAGAAACCATGCACTAAGTGACTAACTTAATGGGGAGAGAATCCATACACTAAGTGACTAACTTAATGGGGAGAGAATCCATATAATGAAAGACTAATTCAACGAGAAAAGAATCCATACACTAAAAGACTTATTCAACAGGGAGAGATTCCATACAATAAAAGACTAATTCAACGGGGAGAGAATCCATACACTAAGTGACTAATTTAATGGGGAGAGAATCCATACAGTGAAAGACTAATTCAACAAGGAGAGAATCCATACACTAAAGGACTAATTCAACGGGGAGAGAATCCATATAATGAAAGACTAATTCAATGAGAAAAGAATCCATACACCAAAAGACTTATTTAATGGGGAGAGAATCCATACACTGAAAGACTAATTCAACGTGGAGAGAATCCATACACTGAAAGACTAGTTCACTGGGGAAAGAATCCATACTTCTAATCAGGTTGCAACTGGTACTATTAGCATGTGAAGTCTTCGTTGGTTACTGAAGAAGGGGACTGAGCATGTATGGGAATGTCCCGAGCGCAGTGATGTCAATTCATACATGGAAAATCTTAGCCAATACATTTGGCAATAAGAATCCAGGCAACAATTATAACCAGAGCTGTTCACAGCAGAATCATAAATATCTAGTCAGTATTCTTAGTATATTCATACCAAATAAACAATATGAGAATATTCCAAGTATTGCATCATACATAACTAAACAATTTATTTAACAACATACAGCATTTAAAGAAGCGTTGAGAATTTGAAAGTTACTCACGGCAAAAGTTAGCAAAATAAATCTGATCAGTCTTGACGGCTCCCGTAACAGAACACCGTCTCTTAGCTCCTCCCACATCTGACAACACATGAAAACAGGACAGTAAATGTTTAATTTGTATATGTAACATAACCGTACAGCAGAACTTCAAAATGAAGGGCTGAATTTGGTAATAATTTGTTGCTTTTACAGACATCACAACTTTACGTTAAATGCTAACTTTGGTATATATTTTTTATGGAAAACAAAACAGGAATTAGGGAAAACGTTACGCTTACATTATGCCAGCTTGATGCTGACCAGGTCACCCATTGTGTTCTGATTGGTCTATAAAATATATGTCTAGCCCTATTTGCCCAGTTCGCCTGAGGTGTGGAAGAGGGTCCTTTATTTTAAGGTGGCAGTAAGAAACCGGCCAAATCAGCTATTAGGTGCAGCTGAATTATGGGCCAGATATCAAATAACTTTTGTATCCTAATAGCAAGATGGATGAAAGATTTCCAACATCAAACAGAAATAGAACAGTCATACAATGTGAGGCCTAGCTAATGCCATCCTTTAATAATTCAATGAATTTCTTTTCAATGAAAAATCAATTAACTTCTTTTTGCAGATGATAAATGTCTCATACACTACCAAGACCATATTTTATAATACCTTATTGACTTAAAACTGCTTAAAGTATGATATGAGAATAAACACAGCAAAAACTGAGGTGGTGAGAATAGGCAGGAATCATAATCTAATGAACGGTCATGTTAACTAACATTACTACAATTAAACAAGTATAAGATTTCAAATATCTAGGAAGCACATTTACAGAAGATGGCAGACTCGGCAGAGATATAGAAGCCAGAGTACAGAAGGCAAATGCTGTCACCTACCAGTTAGCCCCACTGCTTAGACACCAAAATGTCTCCCTTCCAGCCAAACAGCAAATGAATATTAGCACTTTCATCCCTTCTTTATTTAGGGCACAAGAACAGAAAATAACTACATGTGAAATGCGCTAACTCTGCAAGGTCACTAAAAACACTAAACGATACAAGGTTACTACTAACAGCATCAGAGAGAATGTTGGAATAAGACCATGTCTGGATTATACTAACAGACAAAGAATGAAATGGCTCGGTCATTTAGTGAGAATGCAGCCAGACCAAACTTCTTATGAGACTTTTTACAGCTGGACATTTGGGAGGAGGGTGAGGGGAAGAGCAAAAAAAGGGATAGACAAATGGTGAAGCTGAAACCTGCAAAAAGTTGAAAAAATCCATCACACAAGCCACCCGAGAAGTGCAAGACAAATACAGAAAACCACAACAGTGGGCTACAACCTGTTATCAGTGAGACGACAAAACCACAACAGTGGGCTACAACCTGGTATCAGTGAGATGACAAAACCATGACACTGGGTTACAGCCTGGTATCAGTGAGACGACAAAACCATGACATTGGGCTACAACGTGGTATCAGTAAGACGATAAAACTATGACACTGGGCTACAGCCTGGTATCAGTGAGGTGACAAAACCACAGCATTGGGCTACAACCTGGTATCAGTGAGACGAAAAAACCACGACACTGGGCTACAACCTGGTATCAATGAGACAAACAACAACAAAATAAGCTAATGCCAACAGCCTCACCTGCTTCCCTACTGCATTCAGAAGCTCCTTTTTGTCGATCTCTTTGAATTTCTCGATTGTGTTTGTGTTGTAGAGCAAACCAAGTGCAGGCAGACTACGAGGTGGAGGCTTCCAATCACTAAAACATACAAAAAATGTAATCAGATTCACAAATAAAGCAAACAATTTAAAAATATTTTTAAATTTTAAAAATGTTTCCCTGTGTTAGATGTTATTTAAATATCACAAAAAGCTATCAATGTTGAATGTTGAATTAAGAATCGACATCACAGCACTCGGGATATCCCCCTCCCCCCGCCTCCCCCATAAGCGCTCCGTCCCCATCTTCAGCAGCAAGCAAAGAGTTAAAATTATGATAGTACCAGGTACGAGGCACTGGCTCGCTGGAATTGTATTTCTATGTCCTGATCTATTCTCCCGTCCTCCAAAAATATACTTCATAGATATTTAAATTCTCTAACTTGCTTGAGACAAGTACCATTCAACCCGCTTTGTAGCGGACTAGGAATTCTGCTGACATACATTACTTCAGTGTTAGTAGTATTTATTTTTATGTTATATTTTCTGCATGTTGAACTTAGCCTCTACAAATGTTCTTGCAGTCTACTCCCCTCATTGTAGAACAGGCACTGATCGTTTGCAAATAATATTTATTATGTGTGGAGGTAATTCTTCCTCTGAAAAGTAAAGTTCCACATTTTCTGGGTCAACTGATTTAACTCTTTGAGTCCCAGGGGGTTTAGCATCCCAGGCCCAAGGGGTAGTCAAGAGAGACGTAAAATCGGCGCATCATGCGTTCCTTGGGCCTCTAGGTAGGAATCTTATGAACGTATGATGCGTTCCTTGGGACTCAAAGAGTTAAAGCTTGCTTCTGCTGATATTCTGTCTATGTATATAGTAAATACACCAACCAGGTCCCACTTTTTCCTGCCCCACCATACGACAGGCCTAGCAAGCTGGCAGTGGTACAACTGACTGTTACTACACAAGAAATACTGAATACAAATTCATCACCCAAGTCACCTGGAAATGCAAGACAAATACAGAAAGCCGCGACACTAGGCTACAACCTTATATCAATGAAGAAGAAGATATAGAAAATAAGAGAAAAGAGAGCAAACATTCCTGCCTCACCCCTGTATTGATTGTAAACAAATCAGATATGCTTACTTCTGTGTTCACACTTAAAAGGTTGGTTTCACAATGTGTTGTGGTTTACAGCCAGGCTGCGGTATCTGTGCTTTTGACCTAACACATTCGATTTCAGCAAATTTTCAGATTTTTGTTGGGGACAATGAGTCTATTTATTGATTAACCCCAAAAGAGGTCCTCTAGGCCACACGGGGACTCTAGGCCACACAGGGACTCTAAGCCATACAGGTCCTCTAGGCCACATGGGGACTCTAGGCCACACAGGGACTCTAAGCCATACAGGGACTCTAAGCCATACAGGGACTCTAGACCACACGGGGACTCTAATTAACAAAGTCTATGAAATCTTGTAAGACATGCTCTGGAGTTTTGCTTTCCAAATACATTTTTTGATTTTTTTTTTAAAAGTTAAGACAAAGAGACTTTTTTCATAAAATAAAAAAAATGTGAAAGTAGCTGGCAATGCAAACAGGGTGATTAAATTATTAAGGGATCATTGATAATCAGCAACCTTCACCATACTGCAACAACTATATGTTAAAAAGTATAAAACCAGAAAACAAAAAGTCGAGTGCAATAAGTGAAAAAACAACAGTAAAAAAAAGAAACACAGACTACTGTATATTACATAAATACTTTTAAGTCCATCATTTAATTAAATAACTTAACTACATGAACCTGTTAAATGCAGAGTAGTCTACCATCAGCTGTGGGGAAATTCCTGGTGCTGTATCTGCAATAAAAGCATGTGAAGTCAATTTTTGTACCATCATGGCTGGCTACAATGTTAAAAAACTAACTGTGGAGTGGAGATGTTTGTCTGTGAGCCTAAAAGTCTCTTCGGTTCCGCAAATTCTTTCAGTTATAAACAGTACACAGTGAATTACAACCATTGAAAAATATGTTCTCTCACATTTTACATTTAGCATGAGCATGCTAAAGAAATCTGGCATCTCAAGTGGTCATACCCACAGTGCTTAGCCACTTTTTAGTATTCATAATTTACTCCCACTTAGGTATTTGCTACCAAGTCTTCTGGTACTGAAAGACTTCAATAAATTACCTAGGCTCTCAGGCTGACTCAGTTTACCTCATTCAGAAGTCCAAACTAAATTGGTAGGCGAGGAAACCAAACAGTCCGACCCAATCGCTCTCATGAACTCATCACTAAAGACCGTTGATTCTTACCCCCAAGAATGGATACATGTCTATACTGATGGATCAGCATTTAAAGCTACTATTAAAGCAGGTTACGGAATCTACATAGGTTATCCCGATGGATCTGTTGAAGAGATTTTTGAAGCATGCGGGGAATTCTGTTCAAACTATGAAGCTGAAATAATTGCACTGGAAACAGCAGTATACCACCTAAAGACTGTAATGGATGTTTACCCCTCAAAGGTCCAAAATATTGTCATCTTCACAGATTCAATGTCTGCCCTTCAAGCTCTGGAGGGCAATGAACGCTGCAGAACTGACATAGCCAAGATAATCCTGGATGCCGATCAGCTTATTACCTCATACAACATCAGAATAGTGATGCAGTGGATTCCAGGTCACTCCGGCACACCAGGTAATGACAGAGCTGACAGATTGGCAAAGAAAGGAGCAACACAAGAACAACCACCTACAGCGACAACCCTCCAGACAGCAAAAACACTGATAAGAGCTATAAACAAAGAGACTTGGTTGAACAGATGGGCCATGGGAGACACTGGAAGAGAGGTTTATAGACATATGTCTGGCCCTGATCCTAATGACAGCATTAACCATTTAACAAGAAGGGACCAGGCCACCATCTTCAGACTTAGAACGCAACATACTCCACTCAATGGACACCTAAACAGAATACAGCCACAACACTCCCCAGAGTGCCAGCTATGTAACTACCCCTACGAAACTGTTGAACACCATCTCTTTGAGTGCCCAAAACTCAGTGAGACAAGAAGAACGCTACTCCCTCCGAGACCAGACAAGTGGAACACCTTGTACGGAGGAAAAGAACAGCTTGTGAAAACATGCAAATTCCACTACATGGCATTGGGCCAAAGGGCGAAAGCTCATGCGCCGCTGGATCGATAACAACAACAACAACAACAACCTCATTCAGGCCGGAGCAACTGTGTTGACTGAAAAGTTCCAGTTTGCCTAAACCAGGGTCTGCTTCGATCTTGACACTCTACACTCAGAGGAAAGGCAAGACAGACATATAATCGAGCTGTTACTGACACTTTCAGCTTTGGAACTCTTTGCATGTGCTGCTAAGATCAGGACAGGGCTAATATGGGAATGTAATCAGTAGTGTTATGTCGATTCTTAACTCAGCTTAACTCACAAAGGTGACAATATCACAATAAAAAAGCAGGAATGCATTACTTTCGGAACACAACATTCAGTCTGCTGCAATGATTCAAAATCATGCTCAGAAATACTGAGCATATCAGACATGGAAACAATTACTGGTCTCCATGCTCTGAAAGACATGGAAGACACAAAGCCACTCAGCTCTCCAAAAACAACTACTTGAAAGAACAACCCATGCACAGCCGACTGCAAAAAACCCAGAGAGAACATGTTTCATTGAGAACACAAATGCCAAGCTTGCTGACCTCAAACTCCCACCCATAGCACCAAATATTCCACTGAAACTGTACAACCTCTGCTCCTTCTTGACTTAGGGATAATATGCCAACAGTGAGAACCAATGTAACAGGGATCTCCCCAAAATCATTTTTAAAAAAACACTGGTATGAAGTCTATTACAGAAGAAGAGATTAACTATATTCCCACCAAAGCTAGTTTAGAGTTTATATAGATGGTTCAGTCAAGAGAGTAAGTAAGTAAGTTTTACCCCACCAGGACATCCCACAGAGCAATAAACACCCGGTGACACAAAGTGCCACCATGCAGATAAGGATCACCCATGGAGAGGTCCCGGAAACCCCGTTCAATGAGTAACAGCTAGGGTAGGTCTTCAAAATAACGAAAAATTGCATCCCACAAGGGAAAGACTTCATAGTGATAAATTCATCCAAGAGAGCAGTCAGAGACGGAGGAAGAGGAATACACAAATAATGCTCAAACGGTTTTAAAATTTAACAAGCTTTACCAAAGGTTCATGTTCATCGAATTACAGAACAGAGGTTGGTGCATTTCTGGTAGCATGTTCTTTCCTTAACAGACAACACAGCAAATATAGCATAGTGGTTTTTTTTAATCGTTATTACATCAGTTCTACAAGCAATTGTTAACCTAAAAGACAACACTCAGTTTGAAGACTTGATGCAACAGCTGATTCACTTTGGCTATTTAGTAGAACACAATCTGTCCTGCAGTGGATTCCATGTCCCTGTGGCCTGAAAGGCAAACAAGCAGTGGACAGACTGACCAGAAATGGCAGTGACATGGTACAATCAAATAATGACTTAACCCACCAAGAGACACAAAGACATTAATACTATCAAGTATCCAAGAAAGGTGGCTAGATACTCATACCAAAATCTCCCCAAGACTCGCTTCATCGCCTCTCCAGAGAGGGACAATATGTTATAATCAGACTAAGGAAAGGGAACAACAGTCTTTGCCAGCAAATGTTCAAATTTTTAGTTCTAGGAAACACGGAGACGTGACCCTGCAACTTGGTACCCGGAAATGCCAAGCATCTACTCCAACACTGTCAACTGTGTGCTGCCAACAGAGATGGAATCTGGCCTGTTCCAACTTCAAGTAAGACAAAGCTTTACGTTAAACGGGGAGGTATGGACTGCATGATAGCTTTCATAAAGGCTACCAGTTTATTAAAGTTCCCAAACTCACCACAGAGTGCCTAAAAAAAGGTGTTAGTACTCACCACAGAGTACCTAACAAGAGGTGCCAAAACTCACCACAGAGCGCCTAAAAAGAGGTATCAAAATTCACCTCAGAGTACCTAATAAGAGGTGCCAAAAACTCACCACAGAGTGCTTAATAAGAGGTGCCAGTACCCACCACAGAGTGCCTAATAAGATGTGCTAGTACTCACAACAGAGTGCCTAATAAGAGGTGCCAGTACTCACAACAGAGTGCCAAATAAGAGGTGCCAGTACTCACCACAGAGTGCCTAATAAGAGGTGCCAGTACTCACCACAGAGTGCCTAATAAGAGGTGCCAGTACTCACTCACCACACAGTGCCTAATAAGAGGTGCCAAAACTCACCAAAGGGTGCCTAATAAGAGGTGTCAAAACTCATCATAGAGTGCCTAATAAGAGGTGTCAAAACTCACCACACAGTGCCTAATAAGAGGTGCCAAAACTCACCAAAGTGTGCCTAATAAGAGGTGTCAAAACTCATCATAGAGTGCCTAATAAGAGGTGTCAAAACTCATCATAGAGTGCCTAATAAGGGGTGCCAGTACTCACTTATCTCAAGACTGCTCTGGCGTTGTCGTGGCGGAGTGGCTAGATGCTCGCCGCAGATTGGAAGGTTGTGGGTTCGCTCCCTGGCAGAGCCAGACTTTTTTTCAAAAATGACCTTAGCTCCCAGGTCGACCCAGCTTTAAGTAGGTACCAGGTACAGTCCCAGGAAGTAAAGGCGACCGGCGTGATGCTGACCACATCACCCATCTTGTGCCGATTGGTCTATAAAATATAGGTCTAGCCCTGTACGATTTTTTTACAAGACTGCTCTCAATTCTTTTGGCATCAACACAGCATGGTGCACTGACAGTGAAAGGTTGCACAGGCAGAGAAACAGAGGCAGACTAGAAAGAATGGTATTGTTAATCCCACACTGACTGCGGCTTCCATCTATTGTCCGCACTGCTCAAGAACTTTCCAGTCTTATATTGGACTAATCAGCCACCTTTTGTACTCATAATCATTGATCATCGCTACTTTGGCTAAAAGTGGCCTTCACCACTCGTGATGGACGAACAACACATCTGCTTGAGAGGAAAGAACCAACAGTCTGCATGCAGATGAGTCAGTCAAACCTGTAAAACGGGTGTGCCAGTACTTAGTTTTTGGTAAGGACTATAGTCCAGAAGTGAACGAACAACCATAAATTCCCGCAGGTGTTTACAGCCCATGAAGTTGATGAACGTGAAGAAGAAGAAAAAGACTGAAATTAAACGATACTATCATTAATTACTATTAGTATTAGTAATAGTTCCACATTTTACTAGTAAATTAGAGTAATTACTACATACCATTGGAGAAAAACCCGTAAATCTCTCTAGAACTTTCATCCAGACCATACTCATTGAGTTTCTTGTCGGTGAGCTGCTGCCAAAATCCATGATCAACAGTACTGGAGAAGGGGGCGTACTGGACACCCGCCATCGCCTTAGTAGAGCTAGAAGTTAGGTTGGTAAATGTTTACAAGTTGGAGTTACAAGCCCCACCTTCTCCCGAGTTACCGTTCTTTGTTGGTCACGTGATTTGTACGCTATTTCCTGTTGGATCTGCTTCTTTTTTCCTTTTCTTGGAATATATTATCAATGCAAGGTTGCCTTTAGTTCTTTTTCTTCTCCTCCTCCTTCTGCTTCTTTTTCTTTTGTTCGGTTGAAATAAGTTTTATCTGCAATATTGTCTCTAGTATAAGCTTCACTTTTGCGTCAAACTGCTAGCTATTCCCCCCGTTTATTTAATTCATTAGAGAATTTCGTAAGATATATATATATATATATATATATATATATATATATATATATATATATATATATATATATATATGCTGCTTTTTTTCTGCGGCCCTCCCCCCCCCCCCATTTTTAAACCTTTATATATTACCCTCCTCAGTCTTCTTCTTTTTTCTGCTGCTACTGCTACTTCTGCAACAACTTCTTCTCTTTCTTCTTTGTGGGAGAGCATGCACAGTTCGGAATAGCAGTTGAATCACCACAGTCTGGTGAGATTGATGCAAGGGGGGTGGGGGTGATGAGACGTTCTGGCAGATTTTAGAAGGAAAGGCCAGACAGACGTTTAATCAGAATGCTACTGTCACTATATTGAAACTCTTTACTGACTGCTGAAGATGGGGACGGAGAGTTTATGGGAATGCCCCGAGTTCTGTGATGTCGGTTCTTGAATCAAATCAAATCAATCTTCAGGGGAGGGAAAGGACTGCATGGTCCCGAAGCATTGTGTCCGCCTCGAGTGCAAGAGGTCAGGGTTCAATCCCCCGTAAGGGATGGGATTTTTTCACGTGGACTTGGACTTCTAGTAATTATCCGTGGTCTCTGGGTAGTGAAATCGAACGCCCGTGTGCATTGTTGCGCACGTAAAAAATCCTTTGGCAGTTGGAAATCGAAAAGAGTAGCCTAACAGCTCTGCCCGGACAAAAATGTGGAGTTGAAAGTCTATCCATAGTATTTCAGGTCCTCACCGGTGCTGCAGAGCCTGTGCACTGTGCTGAGCTTCTTCGGACTCAGACTTGATTTAGAAGAAGAACGAAGCACTTATGGGCTACTAACCGTGTGCCATGATGGTTGTCCGTTGTTCAAACCTCAAATCTCAAACCTATCAGTTTGTATTGCATAAAGGTCAATTCTAAATTTTCTAGATGTTTCTCAATTTTTGAAGCAGAACTTGATACCCTTGCGACCCGAGAGGGATACATACTGGTGTAACAAGGCAAAACCCAAATACCTTACCCTGTTCAACCTAAGAAGTTAGGCAGCTTCAGAAATTGCAACAAGCAGCATACGCTGTGAAAGGGTCCGAAGCATTGAGAGGTCATACATGACCTTTTTTTTTTTTTTACTTGGATCCACCACGACCCCCTCTTGCTTTGAATTCAGTCTTACGGAGGCGTTAGATCCACACACCTGGGCATACAAGAATTAGCAGTAATGAAGAAGCAAACTGACTGACAAGTAATGCACCAATACATGTCGCCAAAAGTATAGACAAAGCTTACATAGTCAACGTTCTTCCAGTTCGATTGGTGGTGGACAAAGACGAGTGTCAGACGCTAACCAGATGACGTGACACAAGAGTAAAGCCTCACGATGCCAGTCTTTGCCGTCTCCGAGGGATTGATAGAAGACATAATCAACTTCTTATGGGAACAACAGTGGAAATATATTGTGGTAGCTGCTGCATGAGAAGACTGTGCATGCATGTGATGTTCAATGTGCAGTGAAGTCGATTGTGATGACATAACACACAGAGTCTATAAGAAATGAGGAGTTTCATAGCCAGGGTTTTGTTTCTTTACGAGAAAGGTGCCGGTACTGACTACAAAGTGTTTAAGACAGGTGCTGGTACTCACCACAATACATCTATTATAACAGCACTTTAAAAGGATATACCTGTTTAGTACTGTACAGTACTGTATACTATTACCTTTCGCCAGAAGAAAAGACAGGCCCTGATTATTAAATGTATTATGATTAATGGTATCCTCTACCTAGCACAGTTAATGTACTGACTAGTTCTCAGAGCTGTTCATCTGCTGGCCACTTATCATCATTATCATCAGCATCATCATCATGCACAGTTAATGTACTGACTAGTTCTCAGAGCTGTTCATCTGCTGGCCACTTATCATCATTATCATCAGCATCATCATCATGCACAGTTAATGTACTGACTAGTTCTCAGAACTGTTCATCTGCTGGCCACTTATCATCATTATCATCAGCATCATCATCATGCACAGTTAATGTACTGATTAGTTCTCAGAACTGTTCATCTGCTGGCCACTTATCATCATTATCATCAGCATCATCATCATGCACAGTTAATGTACTGATTAGTTCTCAGAACTGTTCATCTGCTGGCCACTTATCATCATTATCATCAGCATCATCATCATGCACAGTTAATGTACTGATTAGTTCTCAGAACTGTTCATCTGCTGACCACTTATCATCATTATCATCAGCATCATCATCATGCACAGTTAATGTACTGATTAGTTCTCAGAACTGTTCATCTGCTGGCCACTTATCATCATCATCATCAGCATCATCATCATGCACAGTTAATGTACTGATTAGTTCTCAGAACTGTTCATCTGCTGACCACTTATCATCATTATCATCAGCATCATCATCATGCACAGTTAATGTACTGATTAGTTCTCAGAACTGTTCATCTGCTGGCCACTTATCATCATCATCATCATCAGTCAGTCAGAAGCATGACCTTTGCAGAAGCTTGCTCCCATAACAACCCTCCAGGAAACTTCATGATCACAAGCAAGATGTCCCTTGTCCGATACACCCATCTGGAGATCATCCGCCACACCCTGCCTCCATCTTCTCTTTGGCCTTCCTCTTCCTCTCTTCCTAGGCATATACCCCTCCAAAATATTTCAATTTTTCTGTGTTTAATCGTTTTTAATAGCCAACTTTTTTTTTTCAATATTTTCTTTTTGAAGTATGGGTGCAGTTGTTCTTTTCTTTACCCATGATATTCTTCATCATCATTATAAACCATTTGCGCCGTTTAGTGGCGTAGGGAGGAATAATTTTCGATCCAGTGCAAGTTGGCTGCCACTGGCTATTGTCATGGGTTCAAGACATCGACATTTGTGGCTTAGGCGTTGAGAACGTGCTTCGTAGTGCTGGGTTGCCAGGGTTCAATCCCAGCTTTGAGATATTTTTCTTGCGTTGGTTTCGACAGTTGTACCAAGAGCTGATCTACAGCAAGCAGTGGCAAACTACTCAACGTAAAATCTGCTTAGAAAAACCACAACAGCTAAGAAAAATGCTGGTGGTTGGTTCTGCAACGTTCTGTAAAGGATACACAACTAACTTTTTTATAGACAGTGTCCATTTCTGACACTGTCAGCTTAATGTTGGAATGAATGTGCTGTCCATGATCACTGGCTATGCACTCATAGTTTATGTTTGGATGCCTTAACAATGGTGACAACTGGTAAATAAGTGCACTTGCTTTCCGACATCTGTTTTCTCTTTCTCTGTCAGTTCTATTATCTTCCGTGATCATACTTCCCTAAATTGGGGGAAGGGGAGGGGCATAAGCTAAAATGCATTCAAGCTGTTGCTGAGAGCTTTTGCTTATGGTTGCGAACTTTATAGCGTTTTATATGGCTCTGAAACTTGGACCACAACTAAAAGAGATGAATGCATATTACAGGTTTCGAGAACAGAGTCTTACGACGAATCTTTGGACCCAAAGATGCAAACAGCGGGGAATGGAGAGTGAGAAGCAACAACACAATTGATAATCTGTTTAAATTAGAGCTGTTCCGGATAGTGATTTTCACTATTCGGCCGAATACGAATAGCTGGACCAACTATTCAGCTGAATACGAATACGAATAGTGAATCATCATCATCAGGTGCTTTGCCGACTGGCATGGGCGATTATGCCTCGCCACAATCTGTGACCTCCTGCAGCATGTATTAGTTCGTGTGCTGACACACCTCCATGCGATGCAACAAGACTGTCAAGAATCTTCTCTTGTTGTCTTCCTCTATCCCTCCTTCCACATATCTTTCAAGTGGTCACCACATGTTCCATCCTCCCTCACCTTATAACATGGCCGGAAAATGATGACTGACTCCTTCTGATGTATATGAGTAGTTTGTCTTCGGGCTCCCGCCTCTATCAAAACCTCTTGGTTGCTGTTTGCGTGTGGCTGTCCAATGTATTTTAAGCATTGTTCTGTAAAACCACATCTCTGAGGCCTCAAGAAATTGTTTGGCCTGCCTAGCGATTGTCCAGGACTTCCAGCCATATGTTAAAACTGGATGTATGTAGCAAGCAAGAATTCTTTTTCTAACTCTCAAAGACAAAGATATATTGCATTAGATGTTCTTCATTTTATGAAATGCAGCTTTTGCCTGTCCTATTCTGTTTATTATTTCAGTAATGCATCTTCCATCTGATGTTATTCATGTGCCCAGATACTTAAATTTCTGTACTTGTCCCAAAATAAAAAAATTGACTTTTATTAAACATTTAGGAATTATTTTTTTCTTTGATACAACCCTTACTTCTGTCTTCCTACTATTCAAACTGAGGCCCATTCTTCCACTTTCGTGTATAAAATAGATCTTCGAAAACAAAATCCATAATGTCAAATGTACGCTGAAATTTTACTTCACAAAATGTAATACAGAATAGTAAACATTAAAAAACATTTAATGTTTTGCATCCTTCAGTCAGTCAGTCTGTGGTAACTAATACATAGGAATAAAAGTATTCTTAGTTTTATAACAAGTAACTAAACTAGTAAATTGTCACTGACAGCTTAGTTAATCCATGAAAGCGGCATAAGCTTAAAAAAAAAAAGAATTAAAAATCGTTCCATGTTGTCAGCATTAAGGCAGCTTCTTGTCTCACTGAAGGTATTTCCAGCTGTA